CAAATGCTTGTGTTTTCCATACAGCACAGACAGGTGTCAGAGCTCCGTGCTACTGATACCTACGTAGCATATTTGACAATGTGAGAGGACTATTCAGCTAATATGAATGACAACAATTACTGCCCCTTTTGTCCCTTATGGGGACTACACCTAAAGTGATGGGGAGGTTGAAATATCTGAACTAAAAAAAGTTCTACTTTAACAAAAAAAAAAGCTTCTGAAAACACATCTAAAGAAACTAATAAAAACATGTATTTGTAAAAAGAATTCAATGTATTTCTACCATACAGCAGACATTATTATTTCCAAACCAAGCGAGACAAACTTTAAAGCAAACGCGAAGCTATCAGCCGTCCATTTACTGAATACGACATTAATTTTTCCAGCTGATCTTGGCCTTCAAGCTTTAACTATTTCTCTCAGGTGCATGTGTGACGTTCAGGAAATCTGCTTCTTCACTTCAGCCTCATTTCTGGAAACAAACCTTTGGTCTGGTTTCTGGATCATTGATCTAAAACAATTCTGTAACACTTCAAAGTGTAACGTGGTTGAATGAAACCAAAAACTCTACATAATGCAGAGTTTTCATACAATCTCCAGAGAGTCGTCACATGACAAGAGCTGTTAGTGCTCAGACACAGCTCTGAGCCGTCACGGACGTGGACGGAGATGAATGAGCGGCAGCGGGCGGTTTGTCATGAGACCAGAGGGGGCGCTCGTCCCGCTAGGATAGAAAACCACGGACATTACGGAGGGTTTCAAGAAAAACAGAGAGAGGAAACAGGAGGACAACCTGCCAACAGACACAAAGCCGTTCTACCTCAAAGCTACGCTGTGGTAGAGCCGTTCCATCACAGAGCTCAACTCCACAGCTCGTTCATCACAGCCGTTCTCCCCAGGATCACAGAACACTCCCCTGTTTTTCTTGTAATAATTTGAGCAACCCTAAGGTAATTTCTCATCGAAAATTTATATTTTTCAGGTTGGGATTCCGTTCAGAGATGCAACTGGATTCAAACCTGCAACCTACAGAGTGAAAGATGAAATCCCTTCAACGACCTAGAGGTGCTCAGCAGTACAGCTACTCAATCACAGGCCTGATCTCCTACAGAGTGAAAGATGAAATCCCTTCAGCTACTTAATCACAGGCCTGAGCTTCCAAACCAAAACTTTACTATTTCAAAGTGACACCAACAACGAACTGAGACATTAAAAATCATAGCTGCTCAGGTATAAAGTAGCTTCTGCACAACCTTTCCATTTCAAACATGTCCCACAACAGACCTTAAAAATTAAGCCTCAATAAAAGCCCCACAGAGGATCAACGTACAGCTACTTCAGCCACCCTATAGTCCAACACTGAACTGCTCCGCCAAGCAAAATTAAGTGTATATCTGGAACTCTACATGGAGATACTGATATAAATCCTTAGTTTCCATATCACCTTTCCTTTTTAAATTCCTTTACGTATTTACGACAATATACTGGAAATGTTTTGCCTCTAAATCCAGTCTTTTTGAAGAAGTGAATTCTGTGAAAATCTTCCATATTTCATCTCCTTGTGCTTTGTTTGTTTTAGAATGAAAAATGTTTTGTTTTTTTCCAGATATGCCGGTTTATGTTGCTCTGGTTTTGCTTCGCTGGAACAGAATATTTATTTGTGAAGGATAAGGTTATGATGGCCTGCAGCATTTACCTCCGTCTTTGAGGCTTCTCTGCAGCTTCATTACCTCAAAAAATGCTGCTTCCCGTCCAAAAGCCCAGGATGCAGCTGAGTTATGAGATTCTGACTCAGCATTTCCTCTGATGACACAGTCTGTGAATTTATTTAGTAATAAAAGGAGTGTATGAGAGTGTATATGTTTGTAAAGCACTCACTCTCCCACAGCAAAGTCCATGGAGAAATTCTGGGATTTTACATCACACCAGACAGCAGTTTGGATCCAGCGCTGCCTCCATCTATAGATGGAAAATGTGTAATTCTTTGACCCTGATGTGGGAATTCTTCATTCCGATTTACATCGGTGGCGCCGCATGACCACACAAGACCGCAGCATAACAACTTGGCTTCATCTCATTTTGGACAATGGTGAGAGTTAATGGTTTACAAACGTTAATTTCTGGTGCAACTGACACCAAACTCGAGTAATTATATTAGAAATCATTGGTAAAAGTTGACTAAGATCTAGTTGACCTAGTCCTACGCTAAAAGGATCTTCCTTTTTTTTTACCCCCCAGGCTGCCCCAGGAAACAGCAGCTCAGTGCTAATCTAGTTTGAATATGTCATACAACCACACTTCTAAATGCCAAATTCCCCCTTTAGGTAAAATAAATGAGTGGTTTTATCAGGCAGGGCCGCAGCAGGAAGATCTGCTCCATTCATCTTTCTATTGTGGTTTTCCTCTGATGGTGGAAACTGGATGTGGGAGTTTGTTGGTCATTAATCCTCTGTGCTCTTCCACACTCAGACACGTTTCCCTGGAGCCACACTGAGCCATCAGCACGTGGATGATCTGCGAACGGTCAGGTCGCTTCAACCCTGAGGGAACCAAAGAGTCTGTCCAGGTTTTCTGTCTTCTGAAACCATCCCACAGTCTACGGCACGTCTCGGCGTCTGTCTCAGACTTGACCTTTCCTCTGATATGAGTTTAATAACCTGTTTTGTTTTCCTTCTTCTTGATTCTTCACAGCTGTTGCAGAGCTGGACGCTGACGATCCAGATAGGATGAGTGTCTATGTGTGAGTATGACTGAGTGTCTTCTGCAGCTCTGCCAGCTTTAATGTGGCCCAGACAAAATAGATGGCAGGTGGCCCATTTGTGAAATAGCAAATGTGGCCTAAATGTCTTTAAATAAATGTGGGCCTTTTCTGCCAAACATTCAACCGTGTGTAATCTGGACGTCACCTGGATGTCATAGTTGGACCTGTTTTGCTCCAGATTATTTTTGGCCGACATGTGCAAACGCTGTGACCAGCTGGAGCGGGCCACACAAAGACAAATGCCACTGTTATTCCATTTCCTATTACCCCAACATCTAACACCTCACTCAGGGTTGGAAATCGTGTGCAATCTGCTGTAAACAAGTTGTTTTAAGTTCATATATTGTTAGGCTTGGTGTAGATCAGTACGCAACTGAAAGTCAGTGTGTGTACAAAAAATATATATGTGCATGTACATAGACATGTGTGTATATATATAAATATATATATTATATACACACACATACAGTATATGTATATAGTCTTCTCTAGGATAGTTACGAGTCCATCTTTTTTGTTGTCAGTTAAGTGAGAGGTAGCCTCATATCGTATGGGAAAATGAAGCCACTTCAATAAAGAGTAAAACCAGGTTCTTTCCAAGGAATCATTCTGCCACTACAGCCACGGCACTCCTACTTGCATTAGTGTAATAAGAGCCATACTTCTGTGTCTCAGTCCGTTTCTATCAGCAGGTGGTACTTACAATGCAGTCAGCTCTGATAACCAGGCTTAAAAAAAACCAGAACTATGACTTTAAAAGAAAGAATAGGAGAAAAACTGGCCAAAAGGGGAATTAGTTTCAGTGTAAGTTCCCGGGGGTGACGACTGTGTCGCTCAGAGCTAAAAGGTTCATGATTCGGGGCTCGGCAAGTGGCTGATTTATTTGATCTCGCATGTTGGTTTTTGTGCATGGGGGCTTTTTGGGTTTCATCTGGAATAAATCAGACACTCTCCTCCAGTAGTCAGGATATTAAAGCCACATTCAGCTGCAGCACCTGGCTGCTGCCCAGACGACATGACAGATACATGGACGTATGGACCCAAGTCGTAAAAACAAGGTCAACTACAACAAAACTGAACGGAGAAATGGGAAGAGGGAAAGGAAATGAAAAAAACATAAAAACAACCGTGAGAATGTGCGACAAAACCGATTTTTTTTCCTGTGTCTAATGAGGTCTAGTTGTAATGATTATTGATTTTAGCACAAGCTGAGAAGAGCAGCTAGCGGGCTGCTGCCTCCGGTGGTTAGTTTATGTCATTGGGACAAATCAAACCCAAACCTCTTAAAAGAAATTCATATTAAAACTTAGTGTTTGAGGCAGCAGATAATCTTTCAGTTAAGTTTTCAGTTAAAAAGTTGTACTTGTCGTTGACGTCATGAGTCTAAGACAATGGACAAGGTCTTTTTTGTTTTCTTCCAGGGTGTCCAGTGCTGAGCTGTAACCTTGCATAACCTTGAACTATCTCAAAGACGGGAATGAGCCAATAACTACTGAATAAAAATCAAACAACAGATAGAGAGAGAGCGAGGTAAAGAGCGAGAGAGAGAGGTACAGAGAGAGAGAACTAAAGACACAGAGAGAGAGTGTTTGAGTCTTTGGCATTTTTTAAATGACTTCCAGATTTCAGTTTTGGAAATGAGACTTCCTACCGTCCTGATTAGCAACAACAGCTTGGTGCGCGCACACACACATACACACACACACACCACATGCAAGCACACACACTGCAGGAATAAAAAAAAACGTCCTCTACATTTGCATGTCTTAGCCCAGAGCTTGTCAAACTTTTTTTTTCTAAGCCACACAATGTTCTTCAGAGTTTTCCTACGGCTCCGACTCAGATCTTTACATTTACGACAACAAACAGTAAAACGAAAGCTGGCGACTGACACCGAGACGGAGCTGTCTGTGGTTCCAATGAAGAGCAAGTTGTAAACAAGCGACTTCTGCATCAGGTTGACGCAGACAGATGGACTCGTGTCACACATGCACTTGTACGTGCGCGCACGCACACAAACTGAGTCATAACTTTTCAGCTGCATGCGGCGGTGAAGCAGATCGTTAACACACACCGATACAAACGCCACTCATACGAACGCTACAGCCGACGATCAAAGAATCAGAGCTTCTTGTCAAACGGCCTTGGATTTTTTTTTTAAAAAAGAGCTAAAAATAGACATGTAGTTGGTGTGTGTGTTTGTGTGTGTGTTTGTGTGTGTGTGCTTAGACAGTTTTACCTGAGGGTCAGCGAAAACTTCCTGGATGCTGTTGATTGGTCCAACAGGAACACCTGAGCCTGTAAACCTCCTTAGCCAATCAGACGTAGTCTCCTCCATGAACCTGACCATAGAGATTATTCATTAACTATAAATCCATGTCAGTTCCTGATGTGCAGCCTAGAAAGATTAGTATCAAATAGTATAGAAAGGTTGGACCATGTAAACATATTTAGATTTTAGATTATTGGGAGTTAATGGATTGGGTCATATCTGCAGATAGATTTTCTATAAAAAAAATTAAAAAAAACCTCTAGCCGACAAGATAAATCTTGGTCCAGAATATCTTTTTAACCTGTGACAATGTGTGTGTGTGTGTGTGTACCTCTGGTTTAGCAGGTTTATCAGTTCCCGTCTGTTCTGTACCCTCAGTTTGTTGGTCTTATATTTTGGCTCCTGTGTTAGTGACGTCAACTTTAAGACCTGCATAAAACAAACAAACACAACAAAGGCATTAACTACCAGTTTGTAAAACCATAAATGTGTTTTAAAGATTAAAGACTTTTACTAACGTACACTCATTTATTGTATTCAACATTTTTTGTGAGTTATTTCTCTGGATGTCATGTAGTTCAGGAGTGTATCAGCAGAGGGCGGGTGCCTCCCAAAATACTAGAATATTCAGCAACAGTCAGAAAGTTAAACCAGCTAACAGGATAGAGCAGCTCTGACATTTTCTCATCGTATGTGGTGTTAAATCTGAGGTGAAAACATGATGTACTTGGGAGTCAGTAAGATTAAATTGCTCAGAGGCAGTGCAGCCTGTTACGACTAGTGTTTCCAGACACAATAAATGTTTATGAAACATCACCAATCTGAACATGTGTAAACCTGACAACTGTTAAGCACACTTTGTCAGATAAATGATGAATCTTTTTTATTTAGATCAAAACGCACTTTAAATAACGAAACTGGAATGTTACAACCAATCTGTAGTTCAGTCTATTGTTTGGACTGTGCTTTGTTAAATTCTAAAAGAATTGCATTTTCACATAATTCTTAGGGTTTTTTTCCATACGCATAAAAATAAAAAAAGCCACAAAATTAACTTAAAATACACTTCATTTCATACAATTGTTCTTTTGACATTTAAAGAGAGGAAAAAAAGATGTTTGCATTTCATACAATTGTTCTTTTGACATTTGAAAAAAGATGTTTGCGTGTGTGTGTCTGTTTTTGTGTGTGTTCTTACATACCTCACACACTTTTACAAACTGCTTGTCATTTCCTGCGGCAACGACGATGTGTCCGTCTTTAGTTCTGAAGCCCTAAATGAGATGGAGAGACAACACTGACCTGAGTGAATGCACACAAACACACACACACCACAGGGAAACATCGTTATTATTATCGTAGAGCTTGATGAAAAAGTGGTCATAAGGAGTGCCTTTTTTTCCTTTCATTTCCTGGCAGCCAACTACATCATCCACTGAGAGAAGACTTTTAATCAATAAATCAGTGAGAAAGTGCAAACAATTTTGTGTTCTTCTGTTAATGAGCCCATCAAGCCATCTCACCTGGAGATGATAATTGAGGACACTGGGAACTTTCTAGATGAGACGTTCATCGCCAAAGAAAACAAAAAACAGTTAAAAAAAACAGCTATACTAGTATACTACGTAAAACTAAGTAAAATCTCAAACTTTTCACACCTGAACGGTTACACTGAAAGGACCGTTGTTTGCAGCTGTGTTAGTGCAGACTCAGACCACTGCTGATTAACAGATGAAACATTCGTCTGGATGCAAATGGCTTTCACGTGGAAATGAGAAGTTAGCAGTGAGTCGACCGCTGTCACCAGGTTAACAACGAGGTTCTGTTTTATTCTTAATCAGACGCAGGAGACGGAGAAGCTGGAGGACGAACTGTTCTCCAGGTCAGCCTTACTTTCTCCTGCTTTTCCTGGAAATAATCCTGATCACGACATAAAAGAATGTTTCTGTCCCACAAATACACACAGCTCTCTCAACGGCGCCTCTTTTATCCGCGGCCTCAGGGAATTGTGGGTAACGCAGTCTAAGAGGTGTGGGGGGGTACGACAGGACATGATACTGAGCCACAAAAACCTCAGGCGGTCTCGAGAGAAGGCATAGCTAAGCAGTGTGGTCACTGGGAGACAACTTCTGCCCCCTGGTGGTATATATCAAATTTTAACCACAACGAGCAACGGAGTCGACAAGGCGACGACGATGTTCCTCCGATGCTTCATCATGCCCTTGACGTTGTACGTGATCTTTAGGAACGAATGACTGGGTTGAAACAACGTGATTATAAGAATGTCGGGATTGTAACTTTTCTTCATCGGTTATTGATATTTCCATTGACCTTAAACACACAAAAAACTGGCTGCCTGTGAATGCACCCCACTGTAGATGTGGTGCACTGCTGCCTGTGAATGCACCCCACTGTAGACATATGAAGGGGTGTAAATAGCAACATTTCCTAGACAAAACAAATACCACATCCAGAAATGAATCTGAAATCCAAGATGAGTCACATTGTGTGAAGACTAGAAGAGTGTTCAGACGTTTTCCGTTTTCAATTTGAGATTTTTGATGTTGAACTTAAAAACAACCACAACTGCTCCGCAATGTCATGACCAACGTTCAACATTTTTGCTTGTAAAAGCTATTATTTTTTGGTTTGTTTTGATCCGTGAGCTCTTCCTCTGACTTCAGCTGTCCTCGTACAGTATCTCCTCCTCGTCCTCAACCACCTTCTCTGTGACACGCTCCTGTCACTCTCTGACAGGACGTGATTGACTCGTCTCAGAAATCAGATCTGAACTGAGACAAGATCAAGCCTCCAGCTCTAATGTCTTGCTCACAGAAATAAACCCACAACCGCGCACAATACCAGCGATTTTGTTGATTCAACTGTCACGGTTGACGCTTTCAACTCTCCTAGCCTAGGGGGAGCACAGCATTGTGGGTAAGGAGGTTCACACGAGGATTAGATCTGAGTGTTGAACAATAAAGCTCCAGCTGGAGGGAGGCGGTGACCACAAGAATGAAGCCGCCGCCGCCGCCACCACCACGTTCACGCTGAGCAGATGGAGCGGAACATCGGGAGGAGCTGACAGTTCAAGTGTGTGTGTGTGTGTGTGTGTGTGTGTCAATAATATAAAGCAGACCCATAGGAACACTTTTCTTTCATTTTAAGCTAAAGCTAGAGTTCAAGCACGAATGTGTGACTTCACTAACACAGTCGGCACCAACTGTGCTGTGAGCGCCCCCTGCTGCTAAAACTAACCTAGCATTCACTTTAAAATGATGTCAATGTCATATCCTTGGTCTCAAATCTTTTTCCTGGAGCGTTCCCTGCTGGCATCAGTGTTTTAACTGACACTACACATCCAGCAGGTGGTGCTTACAAGAACCTCCACTGTGTGTCAGTACAGCTGACTCAAACCACCACATCTCAGAATCAAAGGGTGAGCAGCAATGATTGAGTTTTCCTCCTAAGACACGGTGGTTGGTGTTGGAGAATGTTACTTGCCTGGTAAGGAACAATGCTCTCGTGTGCCGTCCCCCACCGTCTGGCTTCCTTCCCTGCATTAAGGTAGTTAGCTGCGATGTGGCTCAGACAGGAGACCTAAGAAGAAAGGAGTAAAAAGGCAGAGGCCGGCGTTAATCTTAACTGTCATCAGTCATGGTCTTTTACCTCTTCCTTCTCCTTCAGGTCACTGTTCATTCTCACACTCACTCCCAGTTTAACTAAAACCACACGTGGGCTTCAAAAGACAGAAGGGGAAAAAACACACACACAGAACAGCATCCAGCAGCATCGTCCTCCGTGCTGCTGTCACTGTGGCCACTTTACGAGCAGCTGAAAAGATGAGAATGGATTTTCATGCCTGTTGGCCAACAAGATGACCCTGGATCTTGAGAATCGTCCCACAGAGACAATTCTGTTGTTTTACACCATAAACACAGGAACAGAAACTGAACATCATAAAATCACATCAACATGAAAAGAAGAAAGATGAAGTTTAGACCCATTGAGGTTGGCAACGCTTGAGGGAATAGCAACCTGTTGTGAGCAACCTGAGACAAAGAGGCCACAATAAGAGATAAAAAATAGCCAGTTAACAAAAGACTAAGCTAAACTTGATAAGTGGTTCATTATGTTTGTTTTTTTAACAGTATTCAAAAGGTTTGTAGGTCACTCACTGTTATATAGTAGAATACATAGAGAAAATCCTTGATATTATATCACTACACGCAGTAGTTGTTGATCCGCTGACTTCATTAGAGAGTTCATAACAATTTCAGTGTGTATCCTATTCATTTTCTTTGTGAACACAAAATGACCAGATGAGTTACTTTTTGGACAAATCTATAGTCGACCACAGAACTAGAGGTGACCGTTTCAAGTTAAAACCTTGTTTTATTGGTCCATCCTTTTCTGAGGCCCAGATGAAAAGAGACAGGGTGTAGATTAACCCATCTGTTAGGTGACATTTTGGAGAAGAAAAAGAGAAGGAAGAGTGGACGGCTTCATTTGTCATCCAGAACTAACGTCCACTTCACAGGCTGAGCAGAAGCTCAGGAGAAGAACGCTATCACAGTGGCAGATGTGACGAACGACTGCAGCACAAAACATAAAACATGCTGTTAAAAGCAGCACTGTCACAAAAGCAGCTCCTCCTGGTCAACAAATCAAACTCACCCGGCGCATCTGGAATACTTGAGAGTCCGGAGTACTGCGCGTTCCCATTCATCTTCAGGATGAATGCGGTTTTACGATGACAAATGATCCGATTTGTTTAATACTGATCACTTTATTTAAAGTGTTTGTACTCTAGGCAATAAATCAGCGATGTGTTTAAAGACTCCTGATGTGTTTAAGATCTGCAATGTGTTTAAGGACCTGCTGGTTACCAGGATGTGTCAAACTCTTATCAGAACCACCTCGTGGATCAGTGGGGAATAAGACAGGCAGCGTCAGAGCTTTGATTTACCAGCACAACCTGAATGCAGCACTGAACACCTGCAGCTGATGCATCAAGTTGTGTTCAGGTTCAGACTCAGTTGAAAAAGACAGAGAAAAAAACCCTCAAACAAAAACAAACAAACACAAATATCTGGTGTAAATGTTGCTGAGATGAAACAGCTGTTACTTTAACAAACATAAACAGATCTCTTTTCCTAACTTCATCTGCTCCTTGTTCCTGTTAATAAATAGACCTCAGTCTATAAATGATCAAAGTGTTTGTCCAGGTTTCTATTTTTATTTATTTTGATCAACTTGTGTTTGCAGATATTGTTTGTCAGTTTGATGCAGTAAAAGTGTGTTCGACCACCTGGTAAATGTGAGGGAGAACAGAAACCCGGTGAGTCACAGGGGGTGAAGTGACCAGAGTGAATCTGAGTCTACGGTGGGGAAACTTTGCCCCCTAGAGTTGACTAAAGGAGCTGAGACTCACTGCAACCAAAAAGGAAATTTCACTGAAGGCTGAAGTGAGGATATATCAGGGGTTTAGTGGGAGGTCAGGAGTTTAATTTATCAAACCCTCAGATATCTAAAGGTGTTGAAATGCCCAGAAAGACCACATAAACCTTTTTTCAAACACCATGTATAAATCACATAATTCCATTTACCAACTGAGACTATATTTTACCAACAGTGCTTCCAAAAAGGCTTTTAGCAGAGATTGGAAAATATTTGATTAGTTCGGTTGAAATCAAATATACATTTACACACACACACACACACACACACACACACACCTGTGAAGACAACAGGTTGCAGTCTATGTGGACTCCTCTCCCAGTATTGTGTCTGTGCAGCAGAGCAGCCATAATGGCTCCATGTGCGTACAGTCCTGTCGCCAGGTCAGTCATAGCTACGCCTGGACGCACCGGGTCACCACCCTGTTGACCAGAAGACAACATGCATTATGGATATGTAGCCATTCAACCTCTGCTGTATTACGTTGTCCTGATGTGCCATCAAACACACTCTCACCTCTGGTCCCGTGATGTGCATCATCCCTGATACTGCAGAGGCGATGGAGTCATAACCTGGAGACTGAGACTGAGGACCAGTCTGTCCATAACCTAAACACACACATACAAACAAACTTAGAATTTTAATAAATCTTTTGTCACCTTCTGTCTCAACCCCTCTGTAATGTATTTATTTATACAAATTTAAGGTCAAGTTTAATCGATCTTTGTTTCATATGGAAAGTGTTAAATAACATCAGATATATGGTTAAAAAAAAAAAAAAAAGCTACTGCAGCGTTATGCCAATGCAGTTTCTTCCTGAAACATGACACGTATTCTCGCTACAGTTTTTTATTGTGGACTACTGCGACCTCTGGCGGCTGCTGCCATTACTGCATTCCTAACAGATGGAGAAGTCAAATGTTTGTAGTTTGTGTTGCTCTTTTTTAAACCAAAGGTGAGCAGAAACAACTTCCACATGTTACTCATCAATATAATCTAGACTTAGTGGAGCACAAATGCTATTTAATTGAGGTACACCAACAGTGTGTTGTGTTCACTGACCTTGGGTAACAGGGATATTGTAAATACCTGATATAGAGCAGTAAATGAGTCGAGGGTTCACGCCACTGAGCTGATTGTACCCTAAACCCATCTGTTGTAGTTTTCCTGGGACAAAGTTTTCTACGACAACATCAGACACTTCTGCCAGCTGAAACAGACACACACACAGACACACACACATAGTCAGTCTGTTTATTCGATCGACTGCAGTGCACATGCTCTCAAGCCTCTTGTCCACAAATGTTAATCAGATATTAATCACACATTGATTTCTACGGCCGTACCTCTGTGAGAATCTTCACTCCCTGAGGACGTTTCATGTCGATGGCAATACTCTGGCAAAAAAAAAAAAATTACATAAAAACATTACATGTTACAATTCTGCTGACAGAGTTTTGACAATGTTGATAAAAATATACAAGAAATATATCATACTTTCTTGTTTCTGTTGACGCTAAGAAAATAAGCACTCTCCGAGCCGACGAAGGGAGGACCCCACTGTCTGGTGTCATCACCTGAACCTTTCATACACACAAACAAGGTGTTTTCCAAGACAGTACATTTGTGTAAATATATCTCTGATATACGTAGCTGTGTTTCAGCACTGACTCTCACCTGGTCGCTCTACTTTAATGACTTCGGCTCCCAGGTCACCCAGGATCATGGTGGCAAAGGGACCAGCCAGCACTCTGGAAATGCCACAGCACAATTAAATGAATGATTTATGTCAAACCCTCATATTTAATACAAAAGGATGCTCACCTGGTAAGGTCTAACACTCTAACACCCTCTAGTGGTCGCAGAGTCTCTCCTGAGTGGATTGAATTCAAACATGTATTAGATTAAAATTTTAAAAAATAAATAGGAGTTAGATATTTTAACTTAACATTGACGACAGCAGATGAAATATGTGTACTATGTGAAAATAAAAAAATAGAATAAAAAGTTTGGGGTTTTCTTGAACATTGTTTTTCTTTTATTAATCTGGTATGTTCTTTACATTTTACCGATCTACTGGGTTCAATAAATACCTTCACGCAAGTAAAGTTAATGTAATGTATTCTTACTGTTCTTATTTTCCAAATACGCGAATACAGTAAGCTGTATTTACGCACCTGTTTTAACTCTGACCCTTTTTACTATTCATTTTTGACTCAAACAAAACAAACATCATTTAAAAACATCCCCACAGCATAATTCAACATATTCATATTCCGACTCGTGAACTGTATCTGTCTGTAAGTGCTACAAACGATGTCACCTCTGTAATCAATATGGCTATATTATGCTAACATTAGCCCACCGCTGCGGGCCCTGTACTGTACCTGCCAGCGACATCAAGCGGTAGGTGGTGGCACGTTTCACTGGGGGAATCTTCCATAGTGGCGGATAGAAACCTAGCATGACAAAGTCCGCCCACCTATGTTTTGGCATTCGTATGGCGTGCGCCATTTTTTCACCTGCGCTTGTGAAGTTCCTGTGACAGTGTCACTTCCGGTATCCGCTTTCCTATTCCCAGAAGACGGCGTTAACTACAAACAAGATGGAAACCTATATTTTATCTTGAAACTATAACAAACTATCATGTAAACCAAATGTCGTTGGTAATTAAACTTGTGGTTATTGTAAAAAATAAATAAATAGGGAGACTAGTTTCAGTGTTATATTTAGCTCGTTATAAAAGCGTTATTAAACGTTCAGCCACATAACTAAAAGTTTTTTTAATTTATTGTATTGGTACAAAAGTATTGTTTTGGTGCTGTTCAAAGTGTAGACAACATAGATTGGCAAACAAACAATAGACATCTTGGTAAAATGTTCCAACAGTATTTATTGTTTATTCCGAGATACAAAAAGATAAAATTGAAATAAACATTTATTTTCTACAGTGATATTGATTTTTCTGGAAAGGTTTTGTGTTTTAATGTAAATGTGTGAGGTGCCGTTGCACTGAGGACTAGAACTACATTCATCCATACAATAATGTTCCTGGCACTGAAGAGAGAGAGAGAGCAAGAGAGAGAGAGAGAGAGAGGACACCTCACACACTTTTTCATTTCTATACAATTCCAGATTTAGCTTCATGTCTGAATCTGAGTTATTCTCTACAATTCACAGTTTAATAAAAACAAAATAATTTATACCAGGGGGAGGGGATCTATTTAAAATCAAACATATTTGTTACAATTACCATCTCTTCTCATAATAAAAAACAGGTCTTCTGAAAAAACACTTCAACCTTCGACTTGAATTACAATAAGAGAAACAGACTGTGGGACTTTCCCTTTCTTTCCTTCTGCTTGGGGAGATTTTACAGAGTATAATTAGTGTCAGGAATTAGAAAAAGATCAATATTTTTTCAATGATATATAGGCTCATATTATCAAGTTTACACATTTTTGGACTGAACTTTTTCACAAAACACAAATTACATCATTTGTTTTTCCCACATCAGGTTCAGTGACATAGATGTAAGATATACAGTTTAAACAAATAGTTTTATATCTGACTTATTAAGTCTAATTAATGTTTCTCAGGACAAACAACATAATAATTGACCTTCTGAAAGTGTAAGTACTTATATTTGTCGGACACTTTTAACACTCTTTTTCACAATTAAATTTGACGTTTTCTAATCCCAGACACTAATAAACTGCCATATTCTTCCACTTGCAGTATACATATATATATCGTATATTTATATACTTATTAATGACAAAAACAGTTTTCCCTCACAATTCTTTTCTCCAAAACACAGATCTCTTTTTTACAATATCAAAAACAGTTTTGCGATTGCAGACAGTCATTCAGACTCCTCAATTTTTCTTTGTGTATATTTGAAAAATGTTCAAAGTCGAGCTACAACAGTAAAACATGAGATACAAGATTTACATTTCACACACTCCTCCTCATCATCATCATCATCATGGACAGAGTCATTGAAGATGGCCACCTCTCACTTTGATCACATGACACTCAGTTGCAGTAATACTACATGTCCACATCGTCAGTCAAACTGTCACTGACTAAGGCTCAAGTTTACACAAAAAAATATTTCTAGACGTTTGGGAGAAACTGAGAATCGCAGCTCAATTTTATCTCCCAGGCACTTGATTGGCCAAAACAACGGAAGCATCACTAACACAAGCAAAACGAGCCTTCAATTCGTTACCCAGTATAACATGACGAAAAAGATGCTCACTGTGTCCATACACTATTTTCAATGTTTTGTTCAAAGCCCGCACATGTTTTCTTAAAGTTTTTTTTAAGGTGTCAGAATAAATCTCAAAATAAATAATCCAGATTATTATTATAAAATAGCTCAGAGGATGGTGTGTATCTGGTCTGTCTGGTCTAAAAAAGTCAGTCATAGCTAACTGTATCTTATGTTGCAAATGCACTTAACAAAAGCAGCTCGCCATAGAAGATGACAAAGATGGGAGCAAATAACAGCTAGAAGACAGGCGAGGCTAACCGTCAGAGCTAACAAAAAAGCCAATATTAACAGATTCATTTTTTTATATATAATAAAATAATAATATAATTATACTTCAATATATCAGATTACAGTGGTGGATGACAGTTGAAGGACAAGGCTCGAGCTGTTTATAGCTCACTTGGCCAATATTAGCGCCAAAGACAAGCAGCTAACAGTAAAAGTTAACAGAAGCAGCTTATAGTACTAATATTAGCTTAAGTAGGGGATTCCAGAAACCTCTGGCAGTAGCAGTTACAAGCAGTTGCAGTAACAGTAGCATGTGACAGTTTTAGCTATCTTTAGCAGCTGAGTACAACAAACGATAGCTGTACGTCATCATATTTGTGAGTATCAAAAGCTGCTTACATGATGCAAGGAACAGTAGTGGCTAACAGTAGGAGGAACGTTTTGACCATGTTTCTTTTTCTAGCAGATAATTGTACTTGCGTAGGGTGGTCACGCAGCTGCTGAAACTCTTAGCAAAATGGTAACAGTTGGCAGTTGTTGCCTACCATTAGACAGCAAGAGATAACTCGCTTATATGAATAACATAAGCAGCTAAAATTAGCATTCGTGATTAGCCAAAAATAAAAGAATTTGACAAGCAGCTAACAGTTAGAAGGACGAAATACCAGCTAACTGTAGGAGCTAAGACAAGCAGCTTACATTATTAGGTTGTATTTGCAGTCTATGGGAAACAGAAGCAACATGCAATTGCTAACCACACAAACATTGGAAGCTAACAGTTGAAGCTAACAGTCTTACAGCATCTGACCTGTACTAACACAAACTGACATTAAGTGAACATGTGTATCTCTTTTCCTGCATCACATAATGAGGACGAAAGTTTTATTCGTTTCAACTTATCGTGACTGGACACGGCACAATCTTTACTGTGGAATGCTAACAAAGCCAAGTTTGCTGAGTGAGGTGTCATGGTCACATGATGATAATGGAGGATTAGTTTGGCGACAGTGACCCTGTGTTTTTTATTCCCCTTGATCCTGAACAAAAACGCCGCCAACGTCGACTGTCGCATCACTAACGCAGTTTCTGCCGGTGTGGCTTGAATGAGGTAATATGTTCCTGAAAAACACCTGAAACACCTGGATCTGAGTCCTTTCATGAGTTTGTCTGCGTCCTGACATCGTCTGAGGAGGTCGGAGGTCACGGGTGACAAAGTCGCCCTTTGAAAACGCTGAGAAAACCAGTTTTAGAAAAACGGTTTAATAAATTATTGCGTTCTGAACCAGAGAACAGTTCATTTAATAGAAATGTCGCTTTTAATCTGGTTTTCTCAGCGATTTCTCACGCATGGATTCGCTGGTGTGACATTAAGAAGGGTGCGAGGAAGGAAGGAGCAGATAAGGACAGGAGTGGAAGACAAAAGTAGAGAGCAGTGGTATTTCAGAAAGGGAAAGAAAAAAAGGACAAAGAAGAGAGAATTGAATGAAGGAAATGGACACAAGAGGGTAAAAGCTAATTAGGAAAGAGACGAAAGACGAGAGGAAGAAAACAAAGACTTAGGAGAGAAGAAATGACACGATAGTAAAAAAAAAAAGGTAGAGAGGGGACGGAGCTCAGTCCAGGTGTGTTGATGATCGGCAGTTAAGATCAGTCTGAGAAAAAAAATAAAAAACTTTATTTACATTGTTGAGGTTCGCGTGAAAACCTGCAGAGTTTTGTTGGAATAATAAAAACATTCACATCTCTGAAATAAACAAACCGAAAACGTTTCTTTAAAATCCTCTGTAACTTATCAGCTACATAACAAACTATAGGAACAGAAGACGTAGAAAAGTCTGAGGTATATCGGTGTTTGAGGTGATTCTGTGGTTCATCAGCTCAATTTGTGGTTTGTCTCCGTTTCTAACTGCCAACTTTCTCGCCGCCAACACTAAACCGACTTTGTACCGAGTAGGGAGGTCACTTCTTTGTCCAAACCTCAAATATCTCCCTCAACACGTGTAAAACATTTAACTCCAGACCAATATTCCACATGTTGTTCACCTAAAAGGTTTTTTTTTGTAATCAGAAAGGATTTTGTTCTTAGTGGGAACTACGAGCATGTTTTCAGGAAATGCTTATTGTAATATTTGACAGGGACAAACATATTTTGTAAAATCAGATTTTTGGAAAAAAAGTGACAGCCCTGGTACAAAGACACGGGTTTGATGCACCCAAGGTCACAGGAACAGTAACAAACATACAGAAATATATTCATCATCTTCATCAATATCATCAGCAGCAGCATCATCTTAGACATTCACTTTTACTATGGCAACACAGAAAGGACAAAGACACTTCTTAAAATAAAAACTCCACAATTATAAAAAAATAAAAACCTTAAAAAAATGTTCGTCTCTGACAAAGACAAAGTTCCATTCTGTGGACGCTTCCAAAGAAACCGTGGATTTGGTCCAAAATAAAACATACACTTACTCACTCGTTGCAGATTTACAAATTCAGGAACAGCCAATAGGCTTTGAGCACCCTTAGATAAGCTCCTCCCATCTTCCAATCTTGCTGTTGGCTCTGCCCCTTCCTATTGACATGGTTTCCTGAGAAGTATTTTTCTTTTTACCTTTTCTGTCGTCCAATCCTGTCTCCAAACGCGACACTTTCTAGTTTCTGCTGACCGTTCCCGTCACGGACGTCATCATCAATTGAACACAAAAAAGGACATGCCCCCTTTTTTTTTTTTCAGACCTAACTCCATGTTTGCTGTGTGTGTCTGATGCAACCCGTTGAGTCCGAAGTATGAGCAGAAAAGTGTGGTTGCCAGTGGATGGGGGAAAAAAAAGGAAAGTTGGAGTAGAAAAAAAGGTGAGGGTTTGAAACTTCTGCTGTTGTTTGTAGCAGTCATTGTGTTTCCTGCAGCATCGTAGACAGAAAATAAAACACGGCGTTGATGATGGCGGTGGTCAGTTGGTGTGAGGTGGACCTGCAGCAGGAAGTCAGGAAGGTAGATCCAGATATGAAAAAAAAACGTAAGAAAAACATAAGAAAAGTCATTGCTGAGGTTCCTGGACAGAGTCGAGCATTCAGAGTCGGACCTGATCATCTGTGTGTTATCATCTGTGTGTTTCAGTGTGTGTGTGTGGGTGTGTGTGTGTGTGTGCACGTATGCGCTGGTTATTTGCCCAAAAAAATGAAAATAAAAATCCCAAATTTAAATAGCAGCTGCTTTAATTTCCACTGAGAAAAGCTTGTGTGTGTATGAGCGTGTGTATTATTGTAGTGTTGCAAAAAAAAAAAAAACATTAAAAATTAAAAAATTAAGTTTTTTCGGATGTGTTTTCATAAACTGGACTCTTTGGGCTGCAGGTCCAAGTTGGTCACCAGCAGAGTGCGCTGGTCAGAGGTAGGCGGGGCCGCCGCGGTGCTGTTAGTGATGGTGGCGGGGAGGCGGCGGATCTGAGAGATCCTCTCCTCGACACAGCCTGCTGACAGACGAGCTTCAGCGTCGTGATCCCAGCATTCCTCTGCTGTTTCGCACACCTGAGCCAGACCCTGCAGGAGAGACACACCCGATGACATCACTGATGACATCACACAAGTGACTGATAACATCACAGACATAACGCACCGATTCTACAACACAAACATATGATGACCTTACACACATTATTACGACCCTGTCACGTTTAACGACATCAACCAACCAACTGATGACATCACACCAACACTCACGCAGTGTTTGAGCCACACGTCTTTGAAGAGCGGCCTCATCTTCTTATGGACAACGACCTCCTGCAGGTCCTCCAGGGACGGATGGTGACCGACCTCGTCTTCAAAGGGCAGCAGGTACTCACACACCGGACCTGAGGCACACACACAAGGTGTTACTCTCAAATGCTAACCACACCAGACACTCCTCTGTCTGTGTGTTGTAGGTGATGTTTAGGTGTGTGTGTGTGTGTGTGTGTTCTACCATCTGCAGCTTTGCAGCGCGACACCAGCTCCCACAGAACCAGACCCAGTGCGTACATGTCGATTCTCAGAAAAGCATCACGCTGGAAGTTTATGGCTCCTTCTAGAACCTCTGGAGCCATGTAACGACGAGTGCCCACCTGCACACACACACACACACACACACACAGTATATTTCAGTACAAGACAAAGGTCTAATTCTTTGTCGATGGATGGATGGATGGATGGATGGATGGATGGATGGATGGATGGATGGATGGATGGATGGATGGATGGATGGATGGATGGATGGATGGATGGATGGATGGATGGATGGATGGATGGATGGATGGATGGATGGATGGATGGATGGATGGATGGATGGATTCCCTCACCTGTCCATGCGTCTCTCCAGGTGGTTTTCCTGCCTCAAAGGGAACAGCGAGTCCAAAGTCTCCGATCACAGCGGTTAAGTCTAACTTCAACATGATGTTCTTACTTTTAAAGTCCCTGAAACAATAACAGTGATACAAGAATCAGCACCGAACTCAGGTGATGTCGCCACAATGCACTTGAAATGAAATTATTATGATGCTAAATTAAGTCTTATATTGAACTGTTATACTGTCATAGCAGTAATTATCTGCTAATTATATTGTAGCAAATAAGAAGGATGAGAGTGTAGGGTAATAAAGTAATGGTACTGTGTCATCATTATATGACAATGTAGTAATAATAACATGCAAATGTAGTGTTGTAGTGTAAGAATAATGTTATCATGCAAAATAATTCATGCTGTAAGTATGAATAATGCAGTAACAAAATGAACTGCAGTGACCAACACCTGTGGGCGATGGCAGGTTTGAGGAGAGGGACGTCTTCGTGAAGGTAGGACAGACCCCTGGCCATGGACTCGGCCACATGACACAGTTCATTCCAGCTGATGATGTTTCCTTTCAGGAAGTCACACAGTGAGCCCTGCACACACACAAACCTTGACCTTTAACCTTTATAAATCCACCCCCTGACCAATGACAACAATAAGAACAGAGAGCTGTAGATTCAGGTCATCACATCCCTGCTCGACCTCCTCTTTCCTTACCCTTTCGTGGAACTCGGTGATGAGCCAGAGCTCCGCCTCCAGGTGACTCCCTCGTTTCTCAGCAGCGACAAACTTCAGGATGTTTTCATGTCTCATTCCTGTTGCGCTCAGAATTTCTCCCTCGTTCTCCCATGACTCCTTGTTCTAAAAAAAAAAGTTCGGTGATGAAAAGACAAATAAACACAATTGTCCAAATATTAAAAGTTAGCTGTTTGTACCTGTATGGGGAAAATCTTCACAGCTACATGTTCGTTCAACATCTGGCCCTTCCAGACGCACCCAAAGCGCCCCCTGGCTTTTACCTCCAGCAACTGCAGGGGCTTGAGACCCAGCAATGGGGAGGCAGGGGGAGGCCCGGGGTCCTGGGGGAGAGGCAGGAGACATGGAGAGTTAAGAGGACAGTTTAAGGCAATGGAAGAAGTGTGAAACACTGCTTCTAGCAGCAGGGGGCGATCACAGTTAAGGCAGCATGACTGTGTGTGTGTTACTATGGAGTTCTTTAAAAGAACTCCTGGGCATTCTTTAATGCAGTTAAACCTTTTAGATGTAAAAAGTTAGATTAACCTGCAAATCACTAGAGGGCGCCCCCAAAAAAAACACATTTGGGACACATACCATAGTTTAAGAACCAATGATTTACCATAAATCTAGTTAAATAAAAGGTCATTTTACTAAGCTTGAATTGTATTGAGACAAACAGCTGCAGTTCCTACAAGTGGCCCTAGAGGGACAACTTCACTCACCTCAATAATGTCAACATGTCCGTACGGTGGTTTCCGGTGGCGGTACATCCACACAGCGGTGAGCAGAGTTACGGAGAACACGGTGACAGGCAGCAGGCAGTAAATCATCAGGTTCAACACACCAACACTAGGGGGCGGTGCCTTCATCACTAGCATACAAAAACACAAAAAGATTTTGACAAAGTCAGAGGAGGAAGTACAGGGGAAAAACCGACAGGAAGCAGAGGTGAACGTCCAGACTCACGTGGAGCGCTGGCGTCAGGCAGGTGAGTGAACTTCTCGTTACAGAAGTTTCCTTCACAGCAGCAGAAGAATATCTGTGGACTTTCCTCCTTGGCCACGCACTCCACTCTGAAGGAAACAGAGACAGTAAGTCAGCCTCTGGATGATCACGTTTGTGACTGGAGAGTGTTCAAAGTCATGTGACCAGTTTTATCATCATTATCTTTGTCTACTCAGCATATTTATGGCTCATACAGACACAGATGGAATCGTCTTCTCTGCGTGTGTTTACCGGTCGTAGCAGTTGAAGTCGTCCAGCCAGCAGCCCTTCTTCACCAGCTCGATGCTTCCGGAGTTGTTCCTCCAGGAGGCGTAGCAGTGTGATCGTTTGTCCGTCTCCTCCTCGCATCGCTCCACTCCGCTCTGGTTCGTCTTCTCCATCTCATAGTTCACGTTGTAGTAGAGACACTCCCGGGTGTCCACATCGCCATGACCCAGACCTGCACACACACACACACACATGCACGGAGCCGTGTGAGAACTGTTTTAGCTAAAAAACATTTTTACAGTTTGATGTCGTCATCAAGAGTCATCAGTGAAATGAACAGAAAACCAAGGTTGACAAAAAGACACTTTGTTCACTTTGGTGATGGGTTAAAAACAGAGGTCACATTTGGTTGTGTGCACAAGGAGTTCACTTTCCTTCCTTTAAAGTATGACATATGAAGTACTTTTAAACCAGAGCTCAATTATAACCTGAACTGACAACTTTATTCTTCTAAACCTATTGTACAATTTTTTTTCTTGTACTGTTACAAATCCATTTTTTTTTTTTTATCAAAGACTTTCTTATCGTTTTATTCCCTGGATGTGACCCTGATCCTCTGTTGTTCTTGTCAATATTTTAATGGTACTTCAACAGCGGTGGGTCCTAGAAAATGGTTTATAACACTTTAAAAAACTCTGGCACGCTGCTGTGAAAACACGCCTCCTGACTGGCTGCTTATGGGCACCAGATGTAACCTTTGACCTCCGAGGTCATCACAAACGCATACACCGACACACAAATGTGATATTAGGTTCTCAAGAAAAAAATAAATAAAAGCCTCGAGTTCAAGTGAGTGATCACCTCCATTGAGGTGGCTTGGACATTAGTAGTAGAGTGGTCATGTGACCAAATCAAATAAAAAACATCCAATCAGGGACCTCCGTTGTCTGCCCCCCCCGCTCCGTCACATTGTTTTTATTCTGAAATGTTTAAAAGCTCCTTTCAGAATGAAAGTGCTAAGATTTGGATTCCAGAATAAGAGCGTTTTGGCAGCTTACACCGTGACAGATGTTACGGCCAATCTGTGGGTTTGTCGTTGCTAGACAACAGAAACAAACTCACAAACACACACCCAAACAGACACTCAGAAAATACTACAGTCCAGAACTACTTATATTTTACAGAACACTGATAAATCATTGAATTTATTTTGAAGAAAAAAGATGAAATATGTTTACGGTAATCGTCTGAGAGGAAGTAGCTACAGCAGCATCAGAAACAAACAAATAAACAAACAAACGTACAGCATAATCACATTTACTTTAAATCAAATATTTCAAACTAAAACAATGATGTGATTGTATTATTTTCACACTTTTTTAGTTACTACAACTGACTTTTGAGCCACTTTTTCCAATAATTGTCTTCTTAGGTTTGAGGCCCAGGTTACGGGAATAAACGTTAATCTGATAAAAACTCAATCTAAACAAATGTTTTTTTAATTTAATGAGTCTGTTTGACTCTAAGCAGTTTTGTCTGCAGTTAGAACTCATCAGTATTCTGGAGGTCAACCTTGGTCTCCATGGAGACCAGTGAACTAGTGTGTGTGTGTGTGTGTGTGACTTTCTGTGACTCATGGTTCAAATTTTTAATTGAAAAGTTGAATTAAATGTCAACACACACACACACACAAACACTAACCACAGTCATGTATGCCTACACACGACTACTCTCTAAATGAATAATTATGACGTGACTTGTGACCTTGTTTAAATATGACTCGTAAATTCAGTAAAGAACGCTTCAGGAACGGGTCTTTCGACCATGAAATTAAAGGAACTTCCACCGAGGTTTTAAGATTTCTACAATTTCTTTTTTGTCACAACCAGAGTTGAACTGGTCAAAAAAATTCAAAGGTTCTGTAGGTTAAATAAGAAAAAACTAATTTGAAACATTATTAAAAGATATAGAAAACAACAGAAACTAAGATGCTACTTAGTGTTAGCCCAGAGTTAGCTAAAGATTAGCAGTGATCAGCTGACTGATATAATGACGCAGTGGTCAATGATCAGTAATACATGTTGCAGTATCTGTGAGGACCAATCAGAGGCAGGTGTCGTGTGTGTGTGTGTGTGTGTGTCACGCTGCCACTGCTAATCACTGAGAGAAAAACACTGATTTTCATATCATGTGTAATAGAGACAGACAGCTGCAGGGCTCTTCTCAAAGTTTATCATGTGACGGGTGACGAGTGTGAGCGTGCTTCACACACACACACACACACACACACCATCACACACGTGTGTGTGTGAGAGAGAGACACTTTATCATGCAAAATGACCACATTCAGATTATTAACAGGCTTTGTGTGTTCCAGACACGGCAGGTCAAAGGTCTCACACACACACACACAGGCATCTGGCTAGCCAAGTGTGTGTGTGTGTGTGTGTGTGTAGGTGTGTCACTGTCATCATATGAGATGCAAAGCCATGGGAACTCTTCTCTCACACACTGATTTTGTTTTGTTGCACATGTGACCTCCTCCTCCTCAAGGCCTGGCCTCCATCCAGCTGGATGGCAACATGGGCTTTCCCTCTCACACACACACACACACACACACACACACACACGTCTCTATTTATAGGCCGTCACCACTCAGAATCACTGTTGTTCCACTATTCTCTGTGAAAGTAACAAGACGGCTTTCTCTCTTTCTCACTCTCTTTTATATACAGTATACACACATATACATGCATATATATATACATATATATACTGTATATATACATATATATGTGTATATGTGTGTACTAAAACACACAAATGTCGGCTCTAAATACTGAGAGAGCTGAGGACAATGGGTCGACCTCGGACCTTTGACACACATATCTTCAGTTCTCTTCAGACAGAACTCTTGCTCTGCTCTGACACAACACACACTGTTTCATACTTGGCCAAACTTTGATCTCTCTGCTCAACACTTATTTCAAGCAGGAATATTCTCTTTATTTTAAGTCCATTCAGAAAATCTGATTTTTTTCTTAAAACAACCCTGAGTGTTAATGAGAGTTAATGTTTTTTTTCCTTAATGTTGAAAAGTGTTCATTCAAATGTACTGTAGACCTGCAGTTCCTGTGTACTAATATTACTTATATTCACTTTTATCACCAGTGTGGGAGAGCAAATGGCTCACAGACTTCAGGTTCCTGATGGGAATGGAATGAGAACATATGTTTTGGATGTAAATAAGTAAACAACTGCAATTTCACATTCACTGGGGTAAAAAAAAGTCATGTTGCGCAGGACTTGTCATGATATTCTGAGCTGGTTTAGTGTTAAAAATCATGGTCTATCACAGTTTGATGCAGGGAAGGACCCTGCCCACAGAACTAGTTAGACTTGAAGTTTGGTGAGAACCTCCAGGTGACCTGGTCCAACAGTTTTCCTGGTGCCATCGTTTGCAGCCACATCCATGACAAAATCTAAACCACATGTGTGACTGTGCACATTCTATCAGCAGAAAACAGAGCAGGACAAAGAGCCATACCATGACTGGGTCTGTATGCTGTCTAGTGAGGACAGATGTTGTCTGGACAACACACTCACAAACAGACTGGACCCCATCCCCCACTGAGAGAGAGTCATTCCTCTGGTCAGTGAGACAGAGGGCGGCGGAGCGAGGACGGGGCCCCCGGGGGCCGTCACTTTGTCAATGAAAGCAAACCCACCCCACCCATCTGTCACAGACTGCTCACAAACTTCACTCTGCTTCTTCAGGGCCATTCAGTGCTGGCTGTTAGATGTTCCCTGTGTGTTGTCACACTTAGGTAGTAAAATGACAAACATTAGCAATTCTTCTGTTTCAACCAAAAATAACCAGAGCCCTCAGGTTCAAAGGACTATTTTTTTTAGGAAATATGAGGTTTGACAACTCAACTTTAAGATAAATTATATTATTATATATGTATATATATCACATTTTACAGATATTGTAAAACATGATGCTTCAATGTGCACTGATAATAATGAATAATAATAATTGATTCTCTTATTTATTCCCACAATAGGGAAATTTAATTAACAGTAGACATAACATTATTAAATTAAAGCATTATTTTTATTTTAACTTTTCAAAAATAAGAATTTGATTTTTAGAATGAAGCCAAACAAGTTGTTAAATCACTATTATTTTTATATTTTTATTATTATATTTTTTATATTATTATATTTACTATTATTATTCTGTGACATATACTGTTGCTATATTATGTGCTGCTTTTTTAAAAACTTCACATTTTACTTTGATTGGACAACTAGTATAATATTACTTCATTTTCCCAGATACCTTTCAATACAAACCTCTTCAATAAACATTTGCTTAAAATATTATAAGTATATTTTTAGCGATATTAGCATTGAACATAGTGCCTGAGGATCTATCTTATTGGTTTTTTTACACACTTAAGAATATAGGGACAAGAAAACTCTTGACATTGTTTCAGTGTGGACCAGAGCAGCTGCTGCCGCAGGAGGTCCTCACTTTAGGCCCAGCAGCACTGTGTAAAAGATGGTTTTAAATCAACGGTCCTTCTCCCCCCTCAGCCTCTGCTCTTGACCCTCAGCTCCTCCCCCTTGTCTTGACCTCATGCCATCAATCTTAGCAGAGCGGCTGAAAAGAAAAAAATAAGCACTGGCCCTTTAAATCATGCCAGTAGCCATGGGTAGCCCATCCCCCATCATATACCCTCACCACCCCCTCCTCCTCCTCCTCCTCCTCCTCCTCCTCTCTCTGCTGGATGAAAAGCTCTGTTTACATGGACACAAATAATGGGAGTAAAATCCTGATCAGAATAAAGATGATTCATGTGAACACGTCCATTCACAAAGAACCAATCAGTCTGAACCAATGGACGGTTCACACTCTGAGACATGAAGCAAAGACAAACAGAACAGAAGAGTGGCCTCAATCTGACAGAGGAGATGGAGACCAACCTGGAGCTACAAGACTCAGCCTCCATTATTCATATTACTATCATTTACCTCCTGCCAGCAACGTTCGTGCCCTTTATTCATTTAATTAGCAACGTTAGCACTAGCATGTTTTTCCATTAGCAAAACAATCCCAGACACCATCCACTAGCAACATTGCTAAGCCATATCATTTGATTACATTAGCAGCAGCCAAGTCTCTATTTACCTTCTGAGTCAGACGACTGTAAGAGCTGAGGAAAGAAAATAACTCAGAAAAGGAACAAAGACGGGGCAAGAAAAAGAAAACGCTCACAAAAGGACACAGAGAAAGGTGGTAAGAAAGGGAAAAAATGAAAGAAACTGAAAAGTGAGATGATGAAATCAAATGCAGAGGGAGGTAAAGGGGTCATTGGGTAGGATAATGACAAACAGGACGGTAATGAGGAAAGGAGATTAGATATGTAGAAAGAAAGGTAAACAGAAAAGGAAGGAAGTAGAAGAAAAGCTCTGAGAAAATAAAACGATGAAAGCATGAGAAGATAAGGACGAGGAAGGGAAGATCAACAAGGAAAGGAGGCGTAGAGAGTAAAGACTTTGAGGAAAGGAGATTTGGAAAAAAGGTCAAGAAGAATGCTACCCAAGGTGACTAGCAAAGAGTCTGAGAGGATAAACAGTGATCAGGAAAGATAAAGTTATACGGTGGGATGCAAGGAAGTGAGGAAAGGAAATAAGAAAACCATGAGGAAAGGCAGAATTATAAGAGGAGAAGGAGCTGATGAAAAAGGAGGTGAGGAAAGGAGACCATGTAGGAAAGGAAAAGTGAAAAGGAGTCTAGCTGATGAAAGCAGTAGAGTAAAGGGTGAAGGTGAAGGAGGTGAGGAACTGAAACCACTAACACTGACAAACACAAACACACTTGATCAACCAAATCTTACGTGCGCGTGTCATCGTGCAAGCGCATGTGAGTATTTTTCCTAGACACGCACGCGCACCACGCCCCCTCCCTCACTGCTTTACTACGAGACCATGTGAACGCGCGTCCCCATTCATCACTCGCGTGTCTCATGCTTTGTAGTAAAAACGCGCGTGCACGCAGGGATGAGAGGCGCGTGTCAGTGGCGGGTGGAAAATAAAGAAGGAGGTGATTAGTGATTATCGATCGGCGGCATAGATGCTGCACGTCTGAGCTGGAGACAATGAAGCAAAAACACACCCGCGCGCACACACACACACACCTGACACCGAGGCTGCATCACTTCATTCATGGCCAACAAGGGTTTAGGTGCAGAGCGGGGACACATCCATGTCCTCGCTGCACCCGTGAGTGGATGTGCATGAGGGTGCAGCGAGGACATGGACGCGCTTACCTGCGCACAGCAGCGTGCCCAGCAGCAGCAGCAGCGGCAGCGGCAGTGCACCGCTCGGCCACGACGCACACATGGTCCCGCTGGTTCCGCTCCAACATCTACAGGCCCGGTTAGTCCACAGACTGTGCGTGTGAGTGTGCGTGTCCAAGAGTGTAGTAATCCAGTCTTATCTTCTTTATCCTCCTCCTCCTCCTTCTTCTTTTCTCCTTCTCGTTTTTTTCCTTCTCTTCTTCTGACAGAAACACAACCTCGGTCCTGCACAATTTCCCGACAAGTTCACCGCGGAAGCGCATCCATGCGGCGCGGCCTCAGCGTCTCTGTGAGCCGCAGAGACTGCACACAAAAGCTGCTCTCTCTCTCTCTCTCTCTTCCTCCCTCTCTCTCTCCGGGGCTGATGGGGACACACGCAGACAGCGGGGTGTGTCAAGCTGCTGCTGCTGTGCTCCAGATTTACCGGAACGCCGCACTGACCTGTTTTCAAAATAAAAGACAGAATTTTAAAAAAAATGAGTGAAACAAAAAATATTAATGCACATCAGCGTTCATCCCTCAGCAACAGGTGGTGCTATTAACACAGTTGTTGAGCTGTGTTTTACGTAACAAACATTTACACCAGTCTAATTCTCAAAACTCTTGGTAAAATGTTGCTTATAAAAATCTGCAACTGTCCATTCATGGTAAATAACTACTTCTGGCCAAAACTGTGTTTTCAATCGTGTTGTCAAAACATCAACATTACGACCCTGTTTGATCAATAAATAAACTGCCTTCTCATCTTAACTTCACCATTCTTTTCCTACTTGTTCTACAGATTTTTACAGCACTTTGTCATTGTTTACATTGTTGCCACCTGGTGGTGCTATGTTTTCAAGAAATAGCCTAAATGTTGTACAAAAAACGTAAAAAGAAATTTTAAAGGTGATAACCATTAATAGCTGTATACAAATTGTATATTCTTTTAAAAAAAAAGCTATTTTTACTATTATTTTGAAAGGTTGTCCAGGATGAAGATTCCTCTGCTGTGTCTAGCTTCACATTCAAGTTGAACTGAGTCCAAGATGGCTCCGAGAGAGAGAAGGGGGCGGGGAGGTGGATAATCACTTCTGTGTATGTATATGTGTGTAAATTGAGGGTGTGATGCATAATGTATTTTCATTTATTTTTATGTCTCTGACTCTCTGCTCGTTTAGATAAGGAACAGAAATAAACCTAACCCAGAACAATGACTAAACTACACCATGACCCGTACTAACTGATTATGATTTATGAAAAGATACAATTGTAAAAAAGACAAATATATATATGAACAAAAGAAAATCAAACTTAATCATGACTCCCAACCAAATCCAACAAAAAAAAACAAAAAAAAAAACTTGACTCTGAAAAGGACCAGAGTTGGAAACAACAGGAAACCAGACTAATATTCTCATCATCACCTCAGTTAACTTCTTTCAGGGTTTTTTTCTTCTTCTTTTGTTTCATGTTGGAGAGATGAAACGCAACCTCATCCTTCATCATGATCCAAACACGTCCTCGGTATCGATGCGTCGGCAGTTCTGTTGTTATTGACCTGTTCTAAGATCTGAGAGAGAACCAGAGCCAGAGGAGGCGAGTGACATCGATCCTTGATGGACGAGGGGGAGAGAGGAGATAATTGAGGTGAGGAGCCAAGAGCAGGAGGAGGAGGATGAAGAAGATTAAAGGAGAGTGAAGGAGGCATCAGTGTGACTCAAAATGTTTGACTTACAGACCTAAATCAGAAGGTCACACAACATTAGATAAATGTATTGTTTTTGTTTTTAAATCCTCACAAAGCTTTGGTTAGTAAAATGAAGCTCAGCTCACGATTCACCAAAGTCTATAGAAAAAAATCAGTTATTTTAGCTAACAGAAACAAAGAAGCGCCCCGCCCACTGCTGCCTCGTGTGGCTGTTTTGTGTCACTAAGCTAAATCTTAGGAAAAAACATTTATATGTTTGTTACAAAACAACATATTTAAGCTTAATGGACTGAAAGAAAAGAGCAGCATGGATGATTACTGACACAAAAATAAATCAATTGAACTGAATTCACTGAACTTGCATATAACTGGGTATTGGAGCGTTGCTCACTCATCAAATGACAAATTTAAATTTAAATTTTAAATAATCCTTTTAAGTTACACTCAGATCAACGGGGAAAAAAATGAAAGCATACATTAAACCACTCATCTCCCATAACCAAAGGTCACAGAGAAAACCAGTCATTTTACATCTAGGGCTGTTAATATGCTGCTGGCAGTAGCTGTAAGGTCAAATGGATTATTTTGTGACTTCCGTGTATGAAAACCTTCATCCAGACTTAACTCAGTAACAAAAACCGACCACACGGGGCAGACATAGTTCAGCAACTTTACATTTGAACACATTCACTGATTTTATGTCAAGACTACGGAGTGGCAGAGAGCTGCTTATTAAACTGATTTATGTCGAGACTACGGAGTGGCAGAGCTGCTTATTAAACTGTCACAATGCTTTAATCAGTTCACTCCTTAATGAGCAGCTGCAATACAACCCAACCCATGTGTGTGTGTGTGTGTGTCTGATAAACAACCTCCACCTATTCAGTCTCCACCCAAAGCGATCAATTAGAGAGCTAAGCCTAATTGGACAAATGAACACAGTTTAAATGACAAAATTAACAGTTTCTTAATTGACTCTCTGGCTGTGTGTGAGAGAGAGGGGGTAGAGATAAATAGAGAGAGAGAAAGAAAGAAAGAGAGAGAGAGAGAGAGAGAGAATGAGCAGCTGGTTGTTGCTAGGCACCCAGAACCCTCTGTGTCTCCCTGGTTCACTCAGTGATTTCAGGTCTGATGCCATAGACAGGAACAAACAGCAGATGAAGGACAGATGATCACTGTGACCTGAGGACAACAGAGGAGGGGACTTAGTGGTTATTAAATAATGGTTCACTTTTTTATTATAGCAAAATGAAATGTGCTGCCATTCAGACAAGTCAGGGACCGAGTCTGGACCAGTCCAGAAAAAAACAAAAAAACAAAACTAGGCCATTCCAAGAAAGAGACTTGGACCTGTCAGTGACTCAGTCTGAGGTCAGATCCATTTGAAACTAGTCTGAAACAGCATTCACTACAGTCCACTGGACCAGGATTAGACGTCTGAAACAGCATTCACTACAGTCCACAGAACCAGGATCAGACAGTCTGTAACTGGGTGTGGAGGTATGACTGAAGTCTGAAATCAATTTGAGGCTGAATCTGAGATCGTTCTCATCAGAGTCGGTCTTTAACTGGACTGAGATCACGTCTCCAAAACCTGACTGGTGCTGACTGAATGTGAGTCCACGCCTGAGTCTGAGGTTGACTCAGGTCTAGACTAAGAGTCTAAGACAGTCTTTGAATCCAAGATCCAAAAGTGTTATGAGGTGATTCTTCACTCAGGAGGTCATGGGTTCGACCTCAGCTGGATCTATCAGCTGCAGCGTCTCCTGACAGGAGTTAAGGTATTCTTCTGTATATGAGATGGAGGCGGGTTCACACCAACAACCTTGAGGTTTCCTTCAGTTACAGTGTCCAACATGGTGGTTGAGCGTCGCTGTTCAGTCAACATCAGCCAGTGTGATCTGCTCTGCTGGATTTGAACAGTGCACACACACACATGCAGAGAGAGAGAGAGATGTATACCACGGCTCTCTCTCCCACATTCCCACAGTCACCATAATCATGTAAACAGACTAAACACACTCTGCTGCTCCTTTGTTGCCCGTACGGTTTCATTCCTTTTGGGAGCCAATTATCTCACACATACACAATCGCTGTGTGTGTGTGTGTGAGAGAGAGAGTGTAAATTCTCTGTTAATGCTCACACACGTGCGGATGACGTGAGGACAGTCTTTACAGCTCGTCTCCCCGGCTGAACCTACCCATCACTGCTCGTGCACTCTTACACCCCAGCTGAATACATATGAGGACCTTCAGTCGTCCTACATTTACAGCGTCCACACAGGGTGTGTGTGTGTGTGTGCCCTTTAGGTCTGACATTAAATCTCAGCTCTAATCAAAATAAGGCTCTAAGATCTGTCATGACTGAGAAAATGAGTCTAAAAATATGCGTGCGACTGGGACAGAGACCAGTTCCAGTGTCAGATCCAGAAACCTAAGACCAGGATCTCCACTGATGGCAAAAAAACAAAAAAACAAAACATGCAGTGTTGCAAGTTTCCACTGGATTGCTTTGGCGAAAGGTAAGAACAGTTCAACAGTAACAGGATGAAAACTCTTCCATCTGATTGGATAGTCTATATGACAACATACAGGACGGCACTGTGGTCTGACCAAAATTGACCAAAAACTAAGAGTAACATGGCTGTAGTGAGCGTATCCTTAAAATAAAACATTTAATTGAATTTACCGGACGTCAGCAGCACCAGCAGGGAGCACAAAGGCAGCAGCAGACCAGCAGCTTCTGTGTGTCAGCAAGTTAAAATCACTGGTTCCCTCTATGGACTTGGTCTGTTGGAGAAAGTCTGTTATTACAGGAAGATAATGTGTATAAAATATATATATGTCTAAGATGTCATAGACAAGTGCTGAAGTTGCAGTTCCTCTAATTAGCTACCAGGGGGGGTACATCTGTGTTCTAATGGATGTATGCGGCAAATCAAAGAACACTTCATGAGGAGATTCTCCTGCTCTAATCTCTGTTAACATACATTAAAGTCTACTTCATAAACTGTGGTTCAGCCGTGGCTTCATCTCTAAACCGTCCAAACATGGTGATGGTCAGATAACAAATGTGACGGGTTCAGAAGTGGCCGATGATTTCAAACTGTGAGGAGTTTTCTAAGTGCTCTTTCAGTGGTCGCTGAGTCAATTCTAACTCAGAGGAGGAGCGGGCCTCATTTCTCTAGCGGGTGGATGGGGATTCAGACGCCATCTGAGGACAAGAAGTGGCTCCGCCCACTCGCATACATGGACACACATAAACACACACACCAGCAGCAGCAGCAGCAGCAGCAGCAGCAGCTGTCATCTAAGGACAGCTCTGAGTGCCCCCCCCCACCCTCACTGCTGCTACATACCCCCCTCTTCACACATGCACACACACATGCACACATACAAGGGCCATCTCTGCAGCATTGGTCTCCTCATGTGAACCCATTCTGCTCTCACGCATTACACACACACACACACACACATACATACACGCACGCGCGCGCGGCGAAACCCCCTGAATCGAACTCAATCTCCAATGGTGAAGGTATTAGTCATCAGGTAGAAAATGGTGTTCATGTAATCACAGTGACAGAACACACACACACACACACACACACACACACACACACACTAACCTTTTTCAACCTCTGGTCTATAACGTCATAACATCTGAAGACGGAGAGAGAGAGAGACAGAGAAGGAAAAATGATAGAAACATCAAGAAATTGTTTTGTTTCCTTTCAAAGACAAAAACAAATCAAATGTCTTTATTCAATTTACTTAAAAAATGACAGCTAACCTGACAAAGGTTAATGTTATTTTGAAAAACATTTCTACCAAATTTACAAAAATAAAAGCTCTTCTGTCCTGTTGTCATTACATCATTATCCTATTTATTTACATCAAATGAATTTTGAAGGACTGAGGAGAGAGCACCACCTACTGGTCATGTCATTTTTGACAGTTTTGTTTGTCTCATCTGGTAATTGACTATTTTTGATATGGATCCAATTTATCTAATAATATTATTTTTATAAATCTACATGATAGAAAAATGTTTCAAGTCAGAGTCAGATTTAAACTGCAGAAAAAGTATAATTTCAAGTATTTGTTTGTTTTACTGATTTACTTGGTTAAAAATCCATGGTGTCATTTCCACCATCAGCCAGTCTGACTGGCTGCTAAAGCTCAGGTTCTCGTCTTCTGCAGGATCCTTTCCTCCAGTCGGGTGTAGCGCTTCAACATTGGTGCGTAGACCTGGAAGACAAACCCACAGAAATCATGATGAAGCCTGTAGATTCATTTCCACACTCTACTGTTTCAGCATCGGAAAAGTAACGTGTACGTGGAGCTGCCTCCCAGAACAGACCACAGGAGTCTTGGACATTACATTGTTGCTGAACCATAACCTGACTAACAGATCACGACACTGCGCATGTAAGCTTATACATTATGTACCACATTAGAATGGTGAGTAATCATTTCTGACCTCGAATCTTCCATCCCTGTGGAACACAGTAAAGCATGAATCATCAAAACACATTTCTATAGCTTCAACTGAAGTCTCCAGTCTTATTCTACCCTGTTCTACAAATACAAACATGTGGAATGACAGTGTTCCATCATGACTGTCTTGGTAGTGAACCAGAGTGTATCGTCTACCCCAGCTTTAACAGACTGATGCCGGTCTTGTCTCACAGCAGTCTAACCCTACTAATGTGTTAAAGCGTGTGTTATGAAACCGTCGTGTCCTCGAACGTCTCACTGTGTCTGCCTCCATGTGTCTGACCTGTCCTCCTCTCACTGATGATGAACAGGGTGTGAGGGTCAGCGGTTCTATTTCCAGAGTCCACTCATATCCACACGTCTGACTGTGACTCAGACTAATAGTTTTCATTTGGTCTGGGTCCAACCTGTGTTTGTGTTACACTTTGTCTTCCTGTGTAATTCTGCTCCAATTGATTCTTTTGTTTTTAATTTAAGGTTTAACTCTGTTTTGAACTCCTCTCACCGCTGCATTTCAATGCTGATACTTTATTCACTATTCACACCTCAGTTCAATTAAGAGTGAATAATTCACATTATCCTACATGTTTATGGACTGTATAAGGAAACACCAAAACTTCTGGAAATCAAACCAACAAATCTTCACGCTCTAAAGCAAGAGCATGGACTACTGCGCCACCCTGTGGTCCAAGATGAAATAGATCCAAAGAGTCTTTTATCTCAACAATAGATATATATACAAAGAGATTTACTGTAAATGTTTTATTCATTCTTATCATGATTATTATATTCCTATTGATTTCACAGGTGTGTGTGTGTGTGTGTGTGTGTGTGTACCTGCTCTGCTGCAGAGTGTGGCGTAGCAACTAGTTGTGGTTCTGGTGCATTCTTCAGCAAGTCAAAAAAGGAAACACCAGATTCTGCAACCGGGCCTATTTAGGAAGAAGAGAAACAGCTTCAGCTGTTTGGTTATTTGACCAAGTCAAAAAAGGAAACACCAGATTCTCCAACCGGGCCTATTTAGAAAGAAGAGAAACAGCTTCAGCCGTTTGACCTTTGACCTTTGATGTAATTTTCTTACTTTTGCACCAATCACTCAGTTTCACTTTCAATTAATGTGTTTCAGGATCAGTACTTCCATATGTACCCAGCAGTAATACTCTAGATAGTATGAAGAATATACGTATATAACCGGACGTAGAGTATTCACCGTGAAGTGCTCTGTAGGCTGAGCCCAAACAGGCAGAGTTGGAAACATCGATGGTAAAAACAGGAGCATTGAAGACATCAGATAAAACCTGAAATACAAATATTTTAATTTACTTTCAAGAAGTAAAAGAAAGCAGCAGCAGCTGTGCCCTCGGCTAACAGAGGCTAAAAACAGAAAACGGTATCAGTGAAATCCACATACCTGTATAATGTCTGAATTTGATGAAGCGCCTCCTGTGGCCAAAACTCTAGTTCCTGTCGAAAAACACACACAGCATTTTGATTGGACAACACATTTTTATTGATGCAACTCTTGCCTTGATGCGTGTAAACTCACTGGTGGAATATCCCAGTCTCTCTGCGTGGACTCTTCTAGACATAAACTGACCCTCCACCAGCGCCCGCACCTCCACCTCTGGACTGAAGCTCGACACCTGAACAGGACAAGATTTATGGCCAGGCTCAGAGAAACCTTCGCGGCTTTGTTCTCTCCTCCTCTCCCTGTTTCTGTGAGTGAGAGTCACTGCAGTATACAAACCTCTGTGTCGTCAGAGTCAAAGCGATGGTCGCCCTCTATTGGAGGAGTAATGTCCACAATATCGAAGTAAAAACCTGGAAATGCAGAGGACAAGTGTGAGACAGGAAAGGAAGAAAGACATTTACGATAACGGACCAAAACAAGGGAACTTCACCGATGTTTCCGTTATTTCCTAGCTGCGTCTTCCTCAAAGCAGCAGAGAAAACCTCCCATGATCCTCCAGCACACTGGTTCCTGATGCGTTCTCTGGTCAAAGAACCGTTCTTAAAGCTGAGGAGGAAATGTTCATTTGTTTTTTTTCAAACTTGGTTTTAAAATCAATGGTTCAGTTGATCCATGTACTATAGAGTATAGCTCATAACTTTATGTTGTGCTTCCTTTAAAACTAAACCACTGGCTGACTGAGCTGCTGCACAGAGGAAGCACTTACCACAGCAGGGCCATGTATTCCTGACAGTCCACAGGGTTACAGAAGATGTGACCTTCCAGAGACGGTTTCAGCTGCTGAGGCCAAAGAAAAACAGTGTCACTGGTCCCCAGACTGACCTGAAGACAAACATACACATACACACACACAAATACATAATATATAAGATTGCGCACATTTACATTACAGGTATTATTTTTAAATTAAACATGTATTTTTAATGCAGATGATTGAATAATGTCAAAACATAATTAATATATTAATGGATAATTAAAGCTTAAAAATAGAATGAAAACAAACGAACTCACCGTGACGTCACCCTGCTGAAGCCTCATCCCTGCCAGGGAAGCTGAAGAGGCAAAATGAACATGGGGAGAAAAGAAAAAAAAAACACATACTGGTATACACATCCTTCAACAGAACGACAGCACCACCTTGTGTTCATTCGACAGTACTAACTGAAGCAGCAGGTTCAACCAGTAAGTTGATTATCATCAAGAAAATGCAAATAAACCAAAGACTTGTTGTTAAACCTCACACCTGGGTTGTCTCCAGTGAAGGTCACTACACTGCAGCTTTCAGAAAAACCATAGCGATGCACAAAGTAGGAAGAGATCGGACCCTGTGGGTAAAAAGACAAAGCTGATGTCAGGTGTCAAAGGTCAGCCATGTGCTCTGTGTTTATACTCACCAGCACAGAGGTGGAGGGCAGTGGCACACCAAGCAACTGCTCCAAGTCTGGTGCAGTGGAGTCCAGACAGATCTGAGACCAGCACCTGGTCCTGATATCCAGCAGATTCATCCCCGACCCTAAAGCAGCAGGAGTCCGACAGTGAGCAGTTAAAAAGATGAATGGAATATTGAGTGATCTGATGAGTGAAAGAACAAATAACATTTACCATCACTGTAGTCAATGGCTGCATAATCACCAAGGAACAGTGAGGCAGCAAAACTGCTGACCAACAGAATTCTCTGAAACCACACACACACACACAACACACAAATGAATAATCAGAGGAGGATTTTCTGGGGTAATAGGTCAGACAAAGGTCATGAGTGCTGACCTCAGTGTTCTGAAACTTCTCCGGTTGTCTCTGATGCACTTTGGCAATTTGGTTTCCAGTGAAACGCTGCAGGTGGAGCGAGGATATGGATTATTATTGGTTTATTATTATCATTATTGCAGTACTTTTACCAGTGATTCAGCAGCTGCACCTCATATGCTCTGGATCCAGTGATGTCTGCAAGTATTTGAGCGCCCCCTACTGCTGCCTGCAGATTCTCACACTGTTGACTGCTGCTAGAGTCCATCCAAACCGGAGAGTCAGACACTGAGAAACAGTCCTTTAAAAAAACACACACACATGCACTCTATTAAACTAGTCTACTATCTCTATCCTGAAAATATAATTTAGAATAACAGGGGGAAAGACATTTGGACAAAAGAAATTTGGACACCAGGGGAAACACAAACCTGCAGCAGCTGGTGCAGGGTTCGGCTCGGGTCAAGTTGGGTCAAAGTCACACGAGCTCCTCGTTTCCAGAACACACTGCCATGTTGCTAACACACACACAAAGACACACACAGTTGAAATAACTTTACTACAAGCTTCCTCTAACAGATGGTACATGACGATCTTGAAACAAGGATGTAGCCCACAGTTCTGACACACCGACCTAAAACCAACTGGTTTTTGATTTGACATTTCTGGATGTAGTAAACCTACCATTAAAGCTGGTAACATTTGCTGTCATACACAATAAATATAATATGGAAACACATCATTTTGTCTTCACAGAGAGCAAACACACCTGGCCGCTGCCAGACAGAGATCTGACCATGGAAAAGTTAAACCCCTTCCTCTTCATTTTGTCCATTAACAGGTCAAGAGCCTGAGGAGCAAACACATAGAAGACAAGACAATACATTCATTTTAAAGTCTGAGACCATTTGGGTTAACTGTTCTGTGGACCCTTCTCAAATGTCAGCCTTCAAGTTACACAGTAACTAATATGTGTTTGTGTCTAACCTTGACCCACATGAGTACAGGAGAGGTGACAGTGAGTCTGTCCTCATGGAGATGGACGCCTCCCTGAGTTCTGTGCACGGACGCAGACATTAATAAATAAAATATATTTTGAAATAAAAGGACAATATGAAATCAATATCATTCTGTGGTGCAGCTCTCTCTCACCTGAACTCAGGCAGCTCTGAGTCAAACTGTACATTACTCTGATGAACCACATCCAGATGTTCATTGATGGCCACCACTTCAGCTTTAGTTATCAATAAAAAAAATAAAATAAAAAAGATTAACCCACTGCACAGCTATTTTCACCAGTGAACATGTACACAATAACATACGTGGAGCATAGTTAGAAAAATTGAATGTTTAAACTGAACCACTCGTTATTGTTAATATTATACATTTTACGGACAGCATTAAAATGTGTTCTATGTTAAAAAAAATCACAAATATCAAGTTCTATTTCAAATATCTAAAATAATAAAGTCTATAGAAACGGATATTTATTGTTATGTTTTGAACAAAAAAAGTATGGATTACGTAACGTGTATTTAAGCTAATAAAGTTTTCCAACATTTTAGAAGGGGACATTTTAGCTTCTACATTTGTATTAGTTGCCGTCCCTATTTCCGCCTGTGCGCGCGCACATGGACATGTCAACAGTACGTCAGAAAATGTCACGTCCCATGTAGGTGTTAAATGACATGCATTTGTTGTAATTTATCTTACCTGCTGAGTGCTGAAGTCAAAACCGAGAAATAGAGAGTTCGAGGAGTCCGCCATCTTCGAAAGAGAGACCGGAAGTTCAGGAGTTAAACATTTAAAGAGACGCACAGTTTAAAAAAAAATCAGTTTGTTTTTCCTAACTCGTTAAAACCCGTTATCACCTGGGAATAAAGTAAACATTTAAACTAAACAAAGTTGTCTACTGTGTGATTTTATAGAATGTTATAGACAATTTTAACATATGCTAGGTATACCACTTCTCAACTTAAAGCTTCTGCTTCCTTTTAACGGTGTCTGGGCTAAAAGGTAGCTATTTGGGTAGTTTTATTTGTTAAGGTATGCTGTGTTATGGTTCAGTTAAGGCTTAAGTAGCTTCATAATCTAAAATGTTCCTTAGGTGAATTTAGATAACGTAACATTTGCATTTTAACTGTTCCTCCAATTCTAACGGTAGTAAAATCCCTGAGGCTGTGGATCTTCACTGCCCACTGGCGGCAAGAGGCAACATTAACCAAAGCTCCCTCATTGTTGTTAAAAAAATTATGAAACACATTGAAGAAAAATCTTTATTTACCATGAATTTTCTTAGAAACAAAGAAGACTTAAAGTCAGAAAAACACAAATGAAAAACAGACTATTGCTTTCTTTTTTAAATAATCACTCAAAATCAGAAACAAATGGGGATGTTTAAAACATCTAGTAGATTAAAAAAAATTAAATAAGGTAACCTTCTTGTTGCTTTTTAAAACAAATCATGTGCTTTAACTCATCATTTAAACATTGAACATGTAAACATAATTAAAAGAGCACAAAAAAGATAAAGCTTGGGTGACTTTGCAGAAAATTGGAATAAAGTTCAGTGAAGACGCAGAGAAAAAAGGAAATTTGATTGATAAGTAGCAGGTAATGTCACAGAACCGTTTAAACTGCTTACGTTCGTGTTTGACCCTGTGAGCATGTGTCTGTGTCATGGAGTGTGGGTGGAGCCTCGGCTCAGGTAAGCCATCATGGTGTTCATCATTTCACTCTCCTCTTCCAGCGTCAAGTCTAAATAATCCTCTTCATGACGTGAAATGTCCTCCAAAACTTCACTGACCAGCTCATCGTCTTCTGGATACACAAACATATAAACAGAGGTTATTAAAGTGCACCAACAGAGAAAATAAAATTTATGTTGAACTGACCGTGTGTGTCACCTGTGGAGGTGGATGACGTGCTGGGCTCCTCTGACGAAGGGGAGGTGGAGGGAGAGATGGAGGTCGGGGAAAGGACACCGTTGTTGTCCAGCAGCAGTTGAGTAGCTGATTGGACATCTCCTCCTGTCCGACTGAGAGCAGCTTCAGATGCGTCTCTGTCAAAACCTAGATACAACAACTAGAGAGACATGCAGACAAAAGCTGTGGTATGAAAAAAAGGATGTTTTTACCTTTGACCTCCAGAAAAAATATTTTAACAATAAAACCAGGTTTGCTGCTGTACCTGTTCCACTTTCTCTGGACTCACTGCTGCAGCATCAGTGTTGTTATTAGTCGCTAGAGCAGCATCCTGGAGGATCTGATGAGCAGAACAAAAAACAAAAAAATAACAACTAAATTAAATCAACTACTACAACTGCTGAAGTCTGATTTCCCTGCAGCTTCCATAAAAGGCTGGAAGGAAGTCTAATTATTTTTTTCAAGTCAACAGGTCAATGGCTGTGATTGCTCTATAATTATCAGCACTTGTGATGACATCACACTCACTTCACAGGCCTTGTTCACGTCTCCGTTGGCATGGTGCAGAGCTCTGGCAGCGTCTCTGCGAGAGAAGCCTAACTCCATGAGAGCAGCGATGTTCGCCATCCTTGTCATTCTCTTTTGCTGTTCACGCTGCTTTAACTCCTCCCGCTCCTGAAAAACATTCTGGCTGTCAGTTCCTGGCACTGTTTACTGGTTCTGGGAGACTTTGGTCACTCTAACTTTGGTCATCTTTGTGAAGATGTTCATCTCACCTGTCTGCGGCTGCTGATGTGGATGGCGGCCTCCTGCAGGTCCCCTCCACAGGCTCTGAGACCCAGTCGAGCTTCTCTCTCAGAAAACCCCAGGGCCATGAGCTGAGCCATTTTCTCTGAGTCCAGACTCAGACGAGCGTACAGAGAATCCACCTGGAAAAAAAAAAGAAAAAAGAAAAAGATTTGAAGAGATGTTGACACTACAGCCCAACAGAATTAGAAGTGGTAACGATACTAAAAACTGACTTTGCTCATCTGCTGTCGAGCCTGAGCGTCGTTCCCTTCAATGTAAGCGAGGAGACTCTGGAGGAGGTGAAGACGCAGGAACAAGACCTCCTCTCTGCTCTGCGGCTGCTGATGTGGATGGCGGCCTCCTGCAGGTCCCCTCCACAGGCTCTGAGACCCAGTCGAGCTTCTCTCTCAGAAAACCCCAGGGCCATGAGCTGAGCCATTTTCTCTGAGTCCAGACTCAGACGAGCGTACAGAGAATCCACCTGGAAAAAATAAATAAAAAAGAAAAAGATTTGAAGAGATGTTGACACTACAGCCCAACAGAATTAGAAGTGGTAACGATACTAAAAACTGACTTTGCTCATCTGCTGTCGAGCCTGAGCGTCGTTCCCTTCAATGTAAGCGAGGAGACTCTGGAGGAGGTGAAGACGCAGGAACAAGACCTCTTCTCTGCCTGTGTTACCCTAAACACACACACACACATACACGGTTTAGTGTCTGATTTCTATGTCATAGTTTGGAGTCTCCACTCTGGACTGACCTGGATCATAAGCAGCCTCTCTCTCTGCTCTCCATAGCACTGTAGGAAACACTCTTCTGCCCTCTGCAGGCGACTCCTGCCGTCATCTAAACACGACAGTGCCTCCAGAGCACGGTAACACCACACAATGTCCAGCTGCAGGACCGCGAAGTTGTCCACGGAGCGCAGTAACGCAGAGTCACACATGCTGCCCAGACCAATGCAAACACACAGACATTAGGGGGGAAAAAACGACAGTCATGATGTCAGCGGTCAAGACAAGTAGCAGTGAGTTTAATGATGTCATCAGTGATGATGTCATCAGTGTTGTGTTTGTACCTGAACTGCTGGTCTGCCTGCAGCAGGTGACACAGGGCGTCGTCGTACTGTTTCTTCTTCATCAGAGAGCGACCTTTCTCATGCAAACCCATGGCCAGGATCAGCGCCTGGGCACAAACACACACACACACATACGGACAATCATTTCAAAACACAAATCCAATGATGTTTATTCTTTAGTGGTAATTAATTTAGTGAATTATAAACTCTCTTCACCTTCCTCTCATTGGCTGGGATCTTCAGTGGGTTCCCTCTCTGGTCTGCGATCTCCAGGAATGGTGTGTTGTCAAGATCTTCGCTGCCATCTGAAACAAGACAAGTACAATTATTGAGGGAGTTGGCAACAGGGATCCATGTTTGAGTAAACGATGTTCAGAGAGCACTAGGAATGTAACGCATGAATAATCAATACAAATTTGCTATAATAAGCATAGATCTAAATAAAAACTACATTTTTTGCATAGTTATTATGAACAAAAGATCATTATATTTGGTCATAATTTGTCTGGAACTCATTTTCCAGCAGAGCACTGTGTAATGACGTGACCATGGTGTCCGTGTACACACCTCGCTGCGACAGGATCTGAAAACCTTTTTGCGTCCTCTGCAGACTCGTGTTCTGCTCCTTCTTCTTCTGCTCCTCCTCGCTCATCTGTTGTTTCAGCTCAGCGTCGCTAACCTTTAGCACCATCACTTTGCTGTGGTTCTTCACACCCTGTTCGTCCAGCCGCCGGACTGACCACACATGTAAAAACATGAAGCAAAAAAACATCAGACACCGGGTAACTGTGTGATCAACCTACGGGTCATGTGACCTCACCTGGACAAAGGGTTTTCCCGTTCAGGATTAGTTTAATGTATTTGAGACCAAAGTCTTTTCCAATTCTACAACAGAGAAAAGAAGAAACTCAGTGTGTGCGCATGTGTACATAGTTAATTAATTCGGTGTGTGTGTATGTGTGTGTGTGTGTGTGTACCTGTCCAACACTTCCTGAGTTGTTACATCCAACCTTGTTTCCAGATAGTTTTTCTTGGATTTTGGATCCTAACAATAGCACGATAAACAACATAAATATTAGCTTCTTAATGTAGTATGAGCATCAGTCTAAAACATCATGTTACCACCATGTCCCACGTGATTGGTTAATTGTGATCCCAACCCCACAACCCTCGTCCTGCCCACGCCCTCTCACCCACCCTGCTGCAGTCTCTGGGCAGCAGCAGTTCAAGCGTTGCCACCTGCGTCTCTCTGAATGTCCTGTTTCCTTTCCCTCTTTTCACTGCCTGAACTCTGATGGACTCCAGAGCGCCACCTACTTCCGACACAGACAGACAGAGCAGAGGCGCGTAACGTTCTGCCAGCTCCTGATATCGGACAAAAACACACAAAATAAAATTAACCTCTGAATGAGGACAAAGAGCAGAATCGTGGTTTGTAATTTTTGCTGTGTAACATGTGTAATACTCCTCCCTACCTGCAGGTGCTGCGTTTCTCTCTGCTCATCACCGCAGCCCTGGTCCTGGGTGTAGGGTGGATTCCACAGCTGGATCTTCTCCTGCTTCAGCAGGTTTTTCAGTTTTGCCTCCGTGTTCTGCTCCGCCATCACCTGTGGGGAGGAGTGGAGCGACAGGGGCAGGTAGTGAGGGGCAGGGGCAGGTAGTGAAGGTTCATCGTTCTAAACACAGTGTTAGACTACATTTTATTTAGCATATGTTCTATGTCACATACTCAAATTTTATCTCATGAAAGGCTTTAATTTGGACTGAGTTTCAGTGATAATGTGACAAACACTAATTACTTACATTGGAAAAAAAAGTTCCCTAAATGAGGGGGGAGCTGGAGAACAACGGAGGCTTAGACAGCAAAATGATTCTGGTCAGACATTCAGAGAAAACAACTTTGATAGTAGTTTTAAGTATTTGAATAACAAAAAAGTGTCAGTTTTTTCTTGTTCGTTTTTACTTTTGTTACTGCCTGGTTCTTATACTCACTTGAAAGGATCAAAGATTTTCATCACTGAAGACCAACATTACCTGAAGCGGCGCTCACAGACGGCTCACCTACACTTATGACAGTACTAATCGGAAAGTCAATGCTCTGAGGTCATGGAGAAATATAATAAAGACAGAAAAGCTTGTTAGGAAATGAAAAAGTCAAAACTTTACAAAAACGTCAACGTAAAAAACGATGACTGCAGCTCCCCCTTGTGGTCCTTTCACATATATCACTGCGACTGAGTACAAATTAGCTTCTGTATGTTACTAACGGTGAAAAAGTACGGGTTTTGAACACGTCAAGGTTTTTTATACATAAATGTTTATGGCAGTAGTTTGTTCTTCGTCGTGTGACTATCATTGTTTCAGTTTCAAATCGCGGTCAAAGACTGTGGCGTTGACTCATCGATGACATTAACAACGGCAGCTACTTCCATTAGCAACAGACAAAGTTTGTCATCAGAAAATCTCTGCAGCCCTCCGTTTGTTGCCCTTTGAGTATTCACAGTTAGTTACCTTAGCGTGGAGACAACTCCGAGCCGGGCCGTAAATTTAAAACCTTCAAACCTTTCACTCTCTGCTCACGGCGCTGTTGTTGTTGTGAATTTCTAATTTCTGTAGACGTCAGAGGGAAGACGAGGTCTCACTCTGAACAGGAGTCAGGATCCTGTTGACCTAAGCTGCAACCGCTTGTGTGAGACGTCACACGCTGAACAATAGACGATCTTTGAAATGATCGACGGCGAATCACGAGGGTTAAAAATGTCAGCAGTCGATAAAAAGTAAGCGTCGAGAAATTAAAAGAAAAACAACAATATAAAAGCGAATAAGACTAAAAGAAGAGTTGGTAATACAATTAATTAAGGCAATATAAGGTAATAAAATAAAAATATACCAATAAGAAACCTTACCCAGACATACAGATAAAAGAATGTTTACACATGAATGTTCTTCTATCTAAGCTAAATCTTTCTCTGAATGGTAAAAAAAAAGTGTATTATGTATAATACCCTTCTTTGTCCTTAATCATTTTTCTTAAAATCCAGGGCAAGAAAGAAAGTTTTATTCTTTTGTTTTGGTCAATTACAAATGTTCAGATTCTGAAAGTTGTGAACCACAGACACAGGACAATGACAGACGTGCATCTATCAGAATGAGGAGTACAGGCCCAGCCTCTTTGCTGCCTCAGAGATCCTCGGCATCCGCCTGCTGGGGAACGGGAAGTGGTTCAGGTTCTGGTTCAGGTTCTGGTTGTGATGGAGACAGGCAGAGCTGGGACTCTGCTCTCTAGTTCTGCAGCTGGTGCTGGATTTACCACCAGATGACTGGTTCTTCTTCAGGTCAGTTTGCAAATGGGAGGACGGGGAGGTGCAGTGGGCAGAGCTGTGTGATCCCAGAGGTCGGGCATCCGAGCCCGCAGCAGGACTGCTGGATCCTTCACCTGGATTCTGTGCAGGATCATCAGAACCACTGACCTGGTCTCCACTGGTTCTGCTGCTTTCTACTGCGCTGCTGCAGCCGGATGTTTGTGTGTGGATCTTTTGTGAATCTGGTGTCGAGTTCACTCCACGTGTGTTAACTGATGAGTCACAGGAAGAGGACGAAGATGAAGAAGAGCATCTGAAAAATGTAACGGGCAATTTTTAAAAAAATTAAAAGACCTATGTTGACTTTCAATTAAAAATACACAGCAGCAGATTGATCTCTAAACCAGGGGGAAGGTGTTCTCCTCCAGATACTGTATTCTCCTCTAACTTTCTGCTTTTTTTTAATGTTATCATATTTTATGGTTTTATCGGTAACAACGGTTTGTAAAATAAAAATGTTCAGTTTTTTTTTCCTGATGGGTCATCAACACATCACTGACCTGTAGGAACCTAATGTTGGGGAGTGCACTTGGAGTGGCGCCACCATGAGGCTGCTGCAGCTAAAGCGTCGGTGCAGGTCCAGGTGGATGTGCCAAGGGTCAAAGGTTAAAGGGCCCTGGGAGCAGGTAATGTGCTCTGGTGGAGATGAAGAAGTGAAGCTCTGAGTGACAGGTACGATGGTGACGGCGTCCGACAGCTGCTCCGACACTGAACACACACACACACGAGGAGCCTCATGTCAGAACACGTCATCAGATAATCAGTCATAATCACTGAGGATGTCTTTGAAAAATGTCTCTGTCTCTAATGTGGACAGTGAGCTTTATTTGTTTAATTTATATAAAAAAATTAAAAAGTTGGAAAATCCTCCAGACACTGGACACGTTAAACCTGCACATTTATAAACATTCATACTTGGTGCTGTACTGTATATACTTTGAATGACTTTATTAAACTTTTTATAATGTTTTAGAATACTTCTCTATATCTATTTCTTATACTAAAGTACAATTCTCTTGCACTTATCAGGAGCAGCTGTAACGCCAACAATGTATCCCTAGGAGTCAGAATAATAAAAAAAACCTAGAACAATCTAAAAACAAAACTAAATAATTAAAAAAACCCAAATCTGTCAAAATTTAAAACTTTCTGCGTCATTGACACAGAACACGCACGAACATCACGTGTCGAATTCCTGACAGCTCGACAGACACAGGGCGGAAATCCTTTTTAATATTAGTGCAGCGTCATTATGACTCACCTGTGCCGTGGAGCAGCACGTGTGTGTGGCTCCGCTGACAGTCTCTGGTCTGTCTGTACTGTTCCCTCAGCACTGACACGTCCTCCATCTTCTGCCGCCTCCTCTGCTTCTAATGCTGCTAATGCTAGAAGGAAGGAGCCCCGCCCCTTCTCATCCACCTGCCGACTCCTCCTCCTTAAGCAACATAAACCACGCCCCCACCTGCTCGGGAATAAACACCTTTTTAGGACACTTCTATTGATACTTCAACTTGTTTTACTGTTTTACTTTTACACAAAAACACCACATTACCATATGAGCATAAAGATGTTTTGATCTCCTACAAAAACACACTTAAGTATTTGTATTCAAAATATTTTGGTCAAAATTGTTGCAATATTGATTTGACTTTGCAACACTAATAAATATTTTGTTTGTTTTTGAGAACATTAAAATAATAAAAAATATATACTACTACAAATATTGGCTCAGAGTTGTTGTTTGTCAATATTAGTATAATGAACAAACCACCTCCGCCACAATTAAACATGGAGGTGTACGTGTGGAGGTGTCAGGAGGCACACAGCAGGTTTATTTTGTCCATCAGGTTATAAAAGAAGTTATAAGAGAAGAATGGAGGCTGAGATTCCTGGAGAGACCGGAGGGAAAATGTTTCAAAATCACAACCAAAGTCTGCACTTTTTTATTTCGCTGAGTTGATTATGATTTCTGTGGATTGGCCCCAAAACGACAGTAAGATTAGACTGAGGAATTGGTTGAACCTTGTTTCTAAGACAGGCCCATGGTGTGTTTGGGTGTGTGACAGCAGCAGCAGCAGCAGCAGCAGCAGCAGGACATCCTGTTGGATCCTCAGCTGCAGTAACACACCTGTACTCAGCAGCTGCTCAGATTCCCTGACAGTAAACGCAGCAGCAGGTGGATGAAATTATGGCATGTGAAAAAAAAAAAAAAACTCTCAGGAAAATGTTGACAAAGCAGATCCTTTGAAATCCATCAAAGAGACAATAATGATTACAGACACAATGTGTTTAGTACCGGGGTGTTTCCAAGTCCAGTCAGACCAGAGCTCTGATTGGTGTGTAAACAACAGCAGTTGACTGTTCATTCATTCACATCAGCTGATTCATTAGGAGTGAAAAACAAACAGTAGGTTGAACACCTAATACAGAACTACAATACTTAACAGATAGATAATACGTATTTAAAGTATTTAAACTTCATTAAACTATAAAAACCACACACCTACAATTACGACTTTAAAACCAATTAAAAAAAGTTATTCTTTTTGTAAAGTCTGTTAAAAACACAACTCAAATCCAAAACCTTTTGAGTTGATCCCATTTTATTTGTCAACTTCACAGAACAGAAACGTCTGTTGGCATTTGTTCCACAAATGCATCACAAACAAACAATAAAAAAAACATAGTTCTTGTTGATGGGCAAGGAAGTAGCATCTGCAACAAACCACTGAGCACAGGCTAAGCCCCGCCCTGAAATGGACATTTTTATATGAATATGATTTTTAAAACAGAGTGAATCCATTATGGAATAAAACATTTAATAATAACGACTAACAGTTAATGTAAAACCTTAACAATAAAATAATAGCTATCCGCTAAGTTCACATCCAAATGTAACATATCATCTAAGAGGTATCTAATGGCTCGACTTAAATAAGAACTACGAGGTAACAGAATGGCTAAGAGCTAACAAAACAGCTAACAGTCCACAGCTAAGGTCCTGTTAAAGAGCTCCATATGTATCTGAAACAACAACTGTAATGCTGAATATAATATTTAACAGCTGCTATAACTGTCAAAACAATAGCTAACAGCTGAGACCATATGTATATCATATCACGTAGCAACTATGATAAAAACTTACAGCTAAATCGTTGCTATTAGCTTCACCCAAATGAAAATCAAGCCAAGCGCTAACAGCCACTACACTTAAGCTAAGTGCTAACTTGATGACTCTTGCAAGGGTCGGTGTTAACAAAGTGGGCGGAGCTTAGCCACAACTCAATAACGTAGATACATGGTTTTGTTCTGTACAAAAGAAAAAAGAACATATAAAAGGAAAAACTATCGTATTTGTTAAGACATTTTCTATTAATAATCTATAAATACAGCAGTTTACCAACAAAGTCTTTCTGTACAGATTGATTTTCACATATTTTAATCTCAGTGCTTACATGGAGCGTGACACTCTAAGTGCCGGCCCCTTTTGTTGACATCATCAAAATGACGACACAGTTTAATATATTAATATGATAGAAAGACAGTGATGTCACATTCAGTCTCTGTCCACAGTCGACACAGGAGATGGTGGTGAAAATCGACAGGAAGTACCGGTGCCTGTGTGAAGTTGTGAGGAGAGCTGCTGCGGTGATGATGTCACTAGTTTCATCACATTTACGCAAAAGCTGATTGGCTCTAATGACCCATGGTTCACGTCCTGCTCCACAGGAACCGACCATTAAAGACCCTGCAGTGAGTCCCAGCAGAGGTGACACTTCTCGACCAATCAAATGTCAGCCTTCTCTTCTTTGTAGCAAGTGGAATAAAAACCAAAAGAAGCCAGCAGGGGGCGTCAGGGTACCTCATTTTCTTCCTCAACTTCTTCATTTCCTCCATCCTGACCTCCACTCTCCTCCTCAGGGACTCTCTCCTCCTCATCCACCTTTCCTTCATCACTTCCTCCTCCCTCATCCCCTACTTCCTGTCTATCATTCTCTGTGTGTTCTTCTTCCTCCTCTTCGTTTGTCTCCTCCTCCTTATTCACTGTTTCCTCCTCTTCCTTCTGCTCTTCTGACTCCTCTCCTTCCTCCTTCTGCTGTGTGTTTTCCTCCTCACACACTTCTTCCTCACCTTTGTTTGTATCCTCCCCCGTTGTCGCTCCTTCCCCGTCTTCTGTTGTCTCCGCCTCTCCCTCTACTTCTTCCGTCAACCCCTCCTCCTCCTTCACTCCTTCCTCCTCTTCCTTAGTCTCCTTTTCCTCCTCACCTCCCTCTAGTTCTTCATTTATCGCCTCCTCTTCCTTCGCTGCTTCTTCCTCTTCCTTCGCCTCTCCCTCCTCTTCCTTATCTCCCTCTACTTCTTCATTTATCTCCTCCTCCTTCACTTCTTCCTCCTCTTCCTTTGTCTCCTCCTCCTCCTCTGCTCCTTGAAGGCAGGTCTCTGCAGCATCAGTGTTCCCACAGTCTGGTTCGGTGTCTTCACAGGACGTCTGATCCTGGATCTTGACCACTTCTTGGTCCAATTCCTGATGATGAGTTTCCTCCTCCTGGTCTTGACCCTGCTCCAGATCCAGGTCGTCATTCTGAACTGGGGTCTGTTCCTGACCCAGTTCTTGGTTCTGCTCCGTATTTGGTTCATGTTTGACGTCCGTCTCTGAAGAGACCTCGTGGTCCAAGTCCTGCACCTGATCTTGCTCTTGGTCTTCACCTGGTTTCAGGGCTTGAGCCTGGTTTTGGTCCTGGTCCTGGTCCAGTCTGTTCTGTGGATCTATGGGTTGACTTGGCAGAGACTCCTTCCTCCCGAGACCTGCACATGATCATGAGTGAACAATCACTGTGGTCGGATTCTCAGCTGAAGACATTGATATGATTAAATGATTTTCACTGAAACTTTGAAAAGGAAAAAGACCAAGGACTGGTCTACCTGCAGGAGTTAAGACCAGCGTTTGAAGAATGTCTGACAGTGAGACGATGCCGATGATACGAGAGCCTTCATCAACCACCACCAGTCTGTGAACCTGAAAACACACACACACACACACACACACACACACACACACACACAGGAAGTTTTACCATTTTGATAGACAGTTGTAACAATTAACTGTAAATATGTTAAAGGAGAAATTCGCCCATTTTTATCCCAACAGACCACATGAGTTTATGATTTTTGGAACTGTCCTCGGTGTCTCACCTCGGCTTTGACGATGCGGTCCACAATGGTCTCCAGTGTCTCAATCTTGTTACACTTTACGACTCCTTCAAAGTACTGACATCTGTGTCTGAGCGCCTGAGTCACCGTCAGATCCAAGTTATTGTAGGTTTTCTCTGCTGCCAAGTTCTGTTTTCATACACATAAAAAAAAACACACACTGAAGAGTTTTACTTCTCAGTATATTCTCCATATATATATATATATACAGTATATATTAGCTGTTACTAAACATGCCTATATCGTTTTTAGGTTAATGACGCCCTCTGGTGGTGAGCGTGTAGAACTACATTCATTTGTTTACTTCAAGTTTACTTACAATGACGTCAAACTTGGAGTAGATGTCCACCACTTTACCTGTGTACACACAAGCAGCAGATGACGTCATCACCATTGTCTTTACATTGTCAGTCTCATGTCATGTCACCTGAGGTTTTTACCGCACAGTGTTTACCGTTGTGATCGACGACAGGCAGGGCGGAGACTCTGCGGTGTGTGAAGACTGACAGTGCGGTGATAAGTGGTGTGTCAGGGTGGATGAAGGCGATGTTGGCGTACGTGCCCACGCCCAGGACCTCCAACGTCTGCTTCATGAAGGCCGGCATGGGCATCTCACAAAGCTGAGGAACACACACACACACACACACATAAGGATTACAGTTTAAGCTCCTCTCTCACAAAGCTGAGGAACACACACACAAACATATATACAAGGATTACAGTTTAAGCTCCTCCCCTTTATCTCCGGGGTCATGTGACCTGTGGTCACTTACAAAGAGCTGGAGGAACTTGAGGATCCTCTTGTGGGTCAGGATGTAGAGGGCGTTGCCGCTCACCGGGTCGATGACGGGCAGACGATGGATCTTGTTCTTGATCAGTGAGTAAACGGCGTCAAAGATGCTGTCGGAGGGCGGAGCCACGTCAGTCACATGACTGTCACTTTCTCCACTCATCTCACAGACTACTCTCTCTCCCCTCCCTGTACGTCTCTCCTCCCTTACCTCTCATCCCATCTGCTCACTGCTTAATCCCTCCTTCTTTCTTCCCTTGTCGTCTCTCTTATGTTTCCAATCACACACACACACACACACACACACTAAAACACACACTAAAACACACACACACGCCAACATACCTGGCATCAGGTGTAATGTTGACCAGAGGCTTAAATGTTTCTTGTAGGTAAAGTTCTGCAAACAACAACACATATCATTAATATCTACACAACACAAACAAAAACCTGATGATGTCATCGGCAAAGCTATGATGTCATCACCTCGCCACGTCTCGATCTTGTGTTCCTCCAGCTCGTAGATCTGTACCTGGAGGAGAAACACACTTACAATGAAAATATATGTGTGTGTTCATGTAAAGGCATGTGTGTGTGTGTGTGTGTGTGCACAACATGTTACCATAGGGGATTTGTAGTATCTGGTCAGGATGTTAATGAAATCTGTGATGGTCAACATTCCTGAACGGGAGAAGAAAGAAACACAAACACAAGACTTTTATGTGGGTTACTGTGTGTGTGTGTGTGTGTTACTGTGGATGAATAACTGCTAAATATAGATGTTCTTTGAAAGTCTTTGAAATATTACACCAGCCAGAGGACAAAGTGAAACACTCTCTCTCATTCTTGTAGCCTCTCTCTCTCACTCTCTCACCTACGAAGCTCTGTTTCTTGCTCTCCCACAGTGGAGCAGCTCTCACTCCATTGGCCACCAGTGCAAAAAATGCTTTTTTCACCTGAGTCACAAACAGATGCAAAAAATATATAAACAACAACACGTACTCTCCTGCGCCGAAAAACTCATTGAAGAAATACTTGATTTTAATTCAGAGAAACACAGAAGCTTGGTTGGTTTCCTGCTGCCCCCTGTCGGTTTGTTTCACTGAAGTAGATCCAAAAACTAGAGTTAACGTCCTGGTGGAGGCAGCAGAGAATTAACAACCCATTTTGATGAACATATATATCAGTCACCTGCAGCGTGGTGTCAAACACCACCAGTTTGGAGCTGGTTGGGATGATGTCATAGCACTTATGACACTTCATGAAACGCATGTAGATGTCTCTCTCTGACTCTGACACTGCACACACACACAAACACACACAAACGCACACACATGCATCGTGTCAACCAGGTGTACACATTTTGTCATTATATCACAAAATGAAATGAAAACAAAAAGAATTTAGATATAACTAGGTTCTGAAACGATCAGATACAGCTCCCTCTTGTGGCAACTCTTGGTTAAAACAGCACTGGTATACTTCGGAGTGGTTGTATTTTTAATTCACCTAAAATCTTGACAATTTCTATAAACGTGATTTTTCTAATAATATTTGACATTTCTATGATTTTATGACTATAAACGTGATTTTTCTAACAATATTGAATATGAAATTTCTATGATTTTATGTGATGATCATGCATCTTCATAGGTTTAAGAAAACGAGTCTCACCAGCATCGTCGGGGTCCGGCTGCTCCGTCATGTCGTCTGCTCCCTCCACCTGTCATCAATAACAATCAGACAGGAAGTTCTCAGTTACAGACAGCCAGATTTTAAAAAAAGAAAACAGATTTTAGTCGTTTTTGTCTGGCTAACTGCATCACTACAATTTCCGGACTTGTTTAATTCCAAATTTTATGTTTACATTGAATCAACAACATTCCGAACCATGACTTGAACTTTTATGTCTTTTATGCCGTGTTCTTTTATGTTTTTAATCTCAAACAATTGAAACGAGTACATAAAACAAACCTGACTAAGAGTAAAAGAATAAAATCTACATTAAATTATCGACCATCGCCTGCTCTGTTCTCTGGTCGACATTTTCCGTTTTAACTACTCTGTTATGATGGAAAACTGGTAAAATAAAGATGCCTTTGTAATGGAGGATAATTGGGCTAAAACAAGGAAAAAGGCTATAAAAAGAATAATGTGTATGATTTAATTTCCCCCATAGGAGTATCCTTTATTGTCTTTTTATCTCGTCACATTAATAAATAATTTACCAATATTTCAATTGGTATTTTAAATGAAAATATTCTGCTGCTAGTTTATATTTGCGGCCTGTTTAGTCATGCATACATGAGAAGTACAGTAGATGACACAGCTGTTGGTGCAGGTGTCGGCGAACTTTAGGTTAGTAGTGTCTCCATGTCTTTTGACTAAAAGTGATGTGACAGCGGCCGAAATTTGGCCTGAGATGACGTCATGAAATGTTCGAAGTGTCACCGCTGTGGATGTTAATGTGACGTAGCGCAGTAGGGTTCCGTCCAAAAAACGCGGATTTGCAACGTACCTTCGGCCGCTACATCACTGATACACGCAGGTGACGTTAGCTAGCACCTACCTGACAGTCGCCGTTCATTAACGGGGTTTCCTCGTTTAACAGCTATTCAGATTATTTTCTCTTAAAGTGTGTCTTAGTACCTTGAACGTTTCTGAATTAAAATCCTCGCGGCTTCGTGTCTTGCCTGTCTCCGTCAGAAGGGGCAGATGCGCCGGTGAACATCTGTAGGTTTAGGGGCAGAAGAGGCTAAAAAGCTAACGTAGCTAATAGGCCTCGCGTCTGGTTGAATTTCAAAATAAAACAAAATAATAAAGCTAAAGCTGGAGTTGACGGTGGTCCAAACGGGTTATCCTGAGGAATCATTATTATTTTAAATGTAAGAATGTCTTAGATTACAAGATTTTCTCAATGTTTTTCGTTAAATCAAAACATTGATCCTTTCGAAAATATCTACAGGTTTTAACATGAAGAATAAAGAACTTACAAAGGTCAGTGAGTTCTCAGTACGGACTGAAGTATTTTGTTGCTGTTCAAGACAATACAGATATGTGTGGTATTTTCCACTCACACCCCGATCATTTTACCTAAAAACTAAACTTTTTATCATCAATTTATCCAGGTTATTTAAAATAGTAATTCATCCACTTTTCTGCTCTTATTCTGAAAGATATATTCCCGGCATCAGATTGTTTCCTATTCCAACTTGACGGACAGAGTGCGAGCGGAAACAGCCGAGTGGAGCCGAACAGAGTCGAACATAAAAAAATATGCGCACGTTGTTCTTTTAGTTAGAACCTCAGGTTTTTGAGAAGGACAACAGCAATAATAAAGGTCCAGGCAGCCGCTAGTGAGACCTGCTATGATGTACGACTTGAAAATATCAATTATTGACATTAAAAAGATGGATAGATTGCGTCTCTATTTCTTAAAAAAACCCCACATTTATCACTTTATCAATTATTGACATTAAAAAGATGGACAGATTGTCTCTATTTCTTAAAAAAAACACATTTATCACTTACGGTACTCCTAACTTGATGAGGCGGAGACACAGGAAGAAGTTGGGCCAGAGGAGGCCTTGGTGGTCGGGAGGATGAAGAGGAGTAGGAGCGTGAAATTGAGAATCGCTGTACAGTGTCCGGCGGGGAGGAGTAGGAGCGCAGCCTCCTGGCTTCAGGTCGTCTGGGCTCGGTCAGGTAGGTCTCCAGAGGGAAGATGCTCACCTGTTTATGTTGAGGTGTTGGAGCAGGAGGAGCAGGAGGTGGAGGGGAGCAGACGCTGTTGGCTGTGACAGTACAGAGAGTGAAGGAGAGGAACAATGAAAAACAAATAGTGCATTCATGGTGCCATTGGATTTCACCATGTCCACAAAATTTATGATTAGAATGCAGCCCCAAACCATTACAGGTACATAGTTCAACAGATCATCGGTGCAGGATGTCACACTGACCTTAGTGTGGGACAAAGTCAAGATATGAGACAGACAAATAGGAGTGTGTGTGTGTGTGTTCACATGCATTCTTCCTTGCTATAAACACTTCGTCTCAGCAGCTTGTTGTGTGTAAGCTTGTCTGATTGTAAGTGTCCTTGTATGAAGGAGAGATATGCTGAACACTCTCACACACACATAGTGACAGAGAAAGAGAGACAAAGGGAATGTCTTTATGTTTGGCTGTGTTGTCAGGGCCAGGACTGTAGACACAGCAGGATCATCATTATCTCCCTCTCTGACATTGAACATTTTCAAAAGTTCCAGAACATCTGTTCAAAAGAACTCAGCTTCCCAACAAGAAACTGGATTTTTTTTTAAATGTTATGTCCCAAAACCAAATCTCAAAGAGACTTTGTTAACGTGGCATATGCTAATATAAGGTTGTTTGAACTGTTCTAGTGTAACGCTACATACGTTTGGGTGGTTGTTGTAGGGCTACAGTCGTCCCTGCAGTCCTCTTACTCTTCTCCAGGGGGCTCCTGTTTTCTGACCCGTCCTTGTTGAAGGACCTCTGTGGCTCCGTGTTTGTCTGTTGCGACAGCGCCCTCCTCCTCCCACTGGACAGAGGAAGGAGCTGCAAGTGAAGGATACTGCAGGGCTCTGACCGCCGTCTCAGTGTCTCTCTGTCCACCTGTCCTCCGTCTCTGTCCTTTGCTACTACCGTCGTTGTTGAGTTTCTTCTGCCTTTTTCCCCGTCCATCCTTCTTCTCAGCCTCCACCAGTTCTTCCTGTCCACCTCCTTCTGCACGTTGGACTCTGACCTCCTGTGTTCTTCATTGCACTCATTTTTGCTTGGCTTTTTTTCTTCCTCCATGTGTCCACTGGGGGCAGACTTCGTCCTCGGCATGAATATCTCCTGCTCTGCTCCGTGTGGTTCACTACTCCTCTTCCTTTCATGCAAAAGTTATCAATTGTTTTTAAATCTTGAGACAAATTTTAGACAAATTTTTAAGGAATATATGCATAGACCTAATCAGCAGTTGGCCAATCTGCCAGTTGATGGTGATGAGTGGGTTTGGACTCCATGTGAATCTTTTGTTCCTGGTGAAGGATTATGAAGAAGTGATGATAAAATCTGAAGCTCAGATGGTGTTTTCTCTCCAGCAAAAAAAATAAATAAAATGACATAATCCTTGGACCGACAGTTAATAACCAGGTTAAAGTTGGTGTCAGAAGATTTGGCTGTAAGTCCTGAGTTTTATCTGAATCTCTCTGTCTCTCTGTCTCTGTAACTCTCTGTGTTAACCACGCCCCCTGTCTGTGATATAAATGAAGGTCACGTGTCCTTTAGTGAAATAACTGTGTCTAAAGGCAACAAATCAGGACGCAGACACGGCTAAACAAAGTTCTTCCTTGAATCAGTGAAGGAACACAAACCTCTGTCCTTGTCTCTCCTGTTGCGTGTGAACAGCTTGAACCCAGAAGACGTCGGTTGATGGTTCGACTCCTTGGAGGTAGATTTGAAGATCCCACTGAAGCTCAACCTGAGACACACAAATGAACACACAGAGTAGACAATTCTCATCTGCTATTGTCACCTCACCACCGGGTGGCAGTGCTTACCTGCGTGCAGATTTGGGCGCAGAGTCAGTGTGGGTGCTTCCAGGTGGATGTGTGGGTCCAGGGTGTTGGGTCGGTCCAGGCAGAGGCTGGATCATCTTGGAGACCCTGGACCGAGTTAAACGGGGGCTCGAGGGTCGACCGGACGAAGCCCGGAAGGAAAAACTCCGAACGCGTTTGTTGGAGACATCATCATATTCACCTGATGATGTCATTAGAGTTTCCTTTCTGACTTCATCATCTCCAGCTCCGTCTGGCTGCCCATCCAGAAAGGACATTGTAAACACCTTGGGTTCCTATACACAAACACCCACGACAGTTACATCATCAACAAACGTCACTTCTCCCATACAGACAGACTCATCACCCAGCAGCAGATACTGATGACTGCAGTGGAAATAATGCTAGCACCATGTTTTCTGTTGCATCATGGGAAACAGCTTATCATGTAAAGCATCTGTTGAGACAACAAGTGAAACCAAACACCGTGAGAAGTCTTTCCTCCACCAATTTTCAAGTCACTTTTACGGCGCTGAACTCCAGGTGTGCGTTTGGCCGTTGGTGTTAGCACAGCTACAGTTAGTGTAGTTGATGTCGAATGATTCAACAGATCAGTTGCAGAAAAAAAACTTATATTCTCATAATACACTGACTAAAAGTTTAAAATAACCATTTTTGTTGCTTTGTTCATTTTAAAACGCACAGGCAAGGACTGCTCTCCATGCAACACCTATTGGCAGACTGCTGTACTGCAGCTATTTCATTTAAGCAACAGTATCAGTAAAAATTTTTAAAAAAGTTGTCAAACATGACATTAAAAAAAAAGTATAAGTTGAAGCTGAAATCAATTATTTAAATTAACAAATGTATTTACTTTACCTTTTAATCTTCGGCCTCCAGATTTAGAAATCCACCATCAATCGACCTTGCTCATCCTAATTCGTTTCATTTCTCTTTTTCCGTGTACCTGTGTCACGCTGTCTTTTTATTTCCTGACTCCTCCTCCTCCTCTCTACATGAAGGTGTTCAGCTGATCAAATGACCAATGGCCACACATCTCTACCTGAGGAGGAGGAGCCACAGCGTTGAGGTGACTAATATCTATGATATTAGAAAAGAAGAGAGTGTCATCTGCATAAAACACCAAACAGCAGACAGGTCTACACTTTGACACTAAACAAACACAGCTTCCTGTTCAGATTTCATCCTTAGTTTAAGGACAAACAGCTGCAGCATCATTGCACTTCACGCCTGAAAAAAGACACAGGCGTCACCGGACCTGAGATCAGCCGTCTGTGTTTTCACTGTAAATCTGATTAAATACCACAGTGACAAACAGATTCTAAAATAAATTCAGCACCCGTGCACGTAATACAACACCAACTAATTTCTTTGTTCATGATGTAAAATATTTTATTTTCTGTAAATGATTCTAAATCAGTTTCCACATTTTTCCAAAAAACCCAAAAAAAACAAATGTCTTATTGTCGCACATTTACATCCAAAAATAATAATAAAAAAAAACCAAAATTAACAAAAACAATCAAAGCGGCGGTGTTGTAATGGCGACGAAACACATAGCTTCACAGTCTTTATCTGATCACATGCTGCCCCCTGCTGGAGAGCAGGTGACATCTCATCTCTGTACACATATTTACAGCTGTCACTCCACAACTCCAACCACCGCAGATTAGAAAATAGCTTCATTCAGTAATAAATACAAAAAACAAACAAAATCTTATTTTACAGAAAATTAACAAAGACGGGGGAGGGGCAGGGGGAAGGTCTTGTGGAATCAAGTACATTATATGGAAACTGTTTCTGTTGATTTTCCATTGATTTTTTTTCTTTAGTGCAACATTATGAATAAACGTCCCTTTGACATAGTATACACTCAGAGGACCAGCCTCGTCTTTAGCCCCGCCCCCTCCTGTACAGCCCCGCCCCTCCACTTATTAGTCTTATGGTTATTATGTAAGTAATCACTTCTGATATGAAGTCAAGCTCCACCCACAGGGTAGCAGGCCATTGATGTCCAGTTTGAGCACCGAGGTGAGAAAGAGCTGCCAGTGTGTGTTTGTGTGCGTGCGTGTGTTCAGTTCATCCATTTGCGGCAGTTGACGGCTCCACAGTGACACGGGATCTTGTGTTGGTCATCCTCGAGGTCAAACTTATAGTCATAACACAACTGAGAGGAAGAGAGAGAGGGAGGGAGGCAGGGAGGGAGAAAGGGGACAGAAAAGATCACTTAGAGATAAACAGTGACTAAGGTTTGGGATCGCCCCCTAGTGCTGAAACACAGCATGCTGTGTCTCATGCTGCTTCTTTGGTCCAGTGAGGTTTACAGTTGACGTCTCTTTTATGCTACTGCCATAGATCTTTTTTTAATTTTTTAATTAACAAACAGTTTGTTAATCTGAGTGCTGCTCACCTCCTCTCCTCTCTGGATGCGTCTGCAGGAGCTGATGATGATCTTGTTTTCCTTCTCCACCGTCACCACCTCTGTGATGCAGTTTGGAGAACATGAGTGGTTGATGTACCTGTTGAATATACACAGACACACACACACACATCAGTTTGAATGTCACTTCTCTGACTTCTGTCATCACCTGTAAGCAGACTGACCTGGCAGGTCCTCCGGTGATGGTGGCGTCGATCACAAAGTCGTTGTCGATCCTGAACATGTACACGCCACGGTTCTACGTGTGCGCACACAAAAGAGTGATTTCATTGGACAATAAAACTTTATGATACATTTCTGATTTTATTACTCTAAATAATGGTGATTTCATTGGACAATAAAACTTTATTATGATACATTTCTGATATTATTACTCTAAATAATGTTCAGTTTCACGTGCTGTTTCATGTGTGTGTGTGTTTTACCTGTGACTCGTACAGCCTCTCTTTTCGATTAGCTACTTCGCTCCTGATGATGGTGCCGATGTACTCGATGACCATGGTGCATTTCTCAATGTCTCTGGCAGCATAAAGACCAAGGCCCTGCAAACACACAGACAGCCACAGACTCAGAGAGCCGACAGTCTTCATGTGATCATGTGACCAGCGTGTGGTCATCTATCTCACCTGGATACCAGATCGAGCCAGGTACACATTGGTCTTCCACTCCGCCTTCATGCGGCGATACTGGGCCGACTTGGAGTGTCGACCTTGATGAGCACCGGCCACCGCCTCGCCCGGAGAGAGAGAGATGACGCCGGGAACCAGGCCGACGATGGAGCCGACAGTGCCCTGACACCGGGGGGCGACACTGGTCAGCAGGTTCGGTCTGGGACAAACAAAGAGAGACAAAAGATGAACTCATGATGTGAAGTTCTACTTCCAGCTGAACCGTTTGGATAAACCCTGTATTTTGATCCCTGTACCTCTTGGTCTGACAGGCTTTAGGTTCAGAGCGTGCAGAGCCTGAAGGGTTGAAGGCCAGAGGCCACTCCATGAGAGGGTTCCGGCCATAACGGAAGGTGTAGCGTTCACATGCCTCCACACCTGGTAACTACAAACACACACACAGGGAGTCAGGCAGTTGTCAGGACAGGGAAGTGCAAGTGTGTGTGTGTGTGTGTTTGGACATATACCGATTCAATGATTCTGGTCACCGCTGATGTCGTCAGACCGAACAGGTCTTCACCCTTCAGGTAAACAGGGAACAGCTTCAGGGTCTCAGAGCTGGACCTGAGGTCAGCGATGGGCTCCAGAATCTGATCCCAGACCGCTGCACATACACAGAGACAGACAAGAACTAAGTCTTTGAACCTTGTGAACCTTTAATGTTCAGAAGAAAAACAGACAGTTGTACCTTTAGGTGAAGATCCGGACAGAATGACATCATCGTGACCTTTCTCTACCACTTTGACTTTGAACAGTGGCAGACCGTCTTTTTCCTCGACGTAGCACATGTACTTGCAGCGTCTGCAAAAGAAAAAAAAAACAACACTTTAATTAAACAACTATTGAATCACGAAAGTTAAAACAACATATTTTGATATGATAAAAAGACGTACCTATTGGAGTAGCGCATGCTCCAGTAAAAGCGGTTGGCGTGGTAGCCAACTGGGAAGATGGACGTCTGATTGTGGAAAGTTTGGATCTGGCTGGGGAGGAGCCTGCCAACAGCACGGAACAACAGACCGCCCACCCTGAAGGTGTGCTGCCGCTCACCTCGCTGGACCAAAGCCGCAATTTGGCGCGCCTCATCACGCTGCACGTACACGCGCCGAAACACTGCAAAGCAACGCAGCTCTGAATCATAGGGGTCAGACGGCAGTGCCATTGGCGTGTTGGGGGTGGACCCTGGAGTGGACGAGGGCGAGGGACTAGATGATCTGTCCCCACTGAGAGACATAGTCCTAGGCTTGTGGATTGGACAAAGCATGGTCTTATCCTGAAGGACAAAACATGAGACAGTGAGTGACATCAGTGAAAATATAAAAAATACTTCCGTGTCTGTGTCTCTGTACTCGTGTTACCTTGAAGAAGGTGCACTGAGCCTGCAGAGCACAGGTGAAGTGGTAGGTGTTAGTGCAGCGCAGACGGTTGCAGCCACTTGTGGCACCAATGTGCTGGCAGAAGGCGCAGCGCATAGTAAGTCCTCGACGCAGTGCCAGCTCCACGTTGATGAGAGCACCCGCCTGTGTCTCATAAACCTCACTGGACCAAAGAGCGCAGTTCAGGTGGACCTGACACACAGACAAAAAACAGACCAGTTAGTCCCAGTTACAAAAAAAACAAAAAAACACACAGGCAAATACACAGTTGAGGGACTCACCCAAAGGTCTAAGTCCAGATTAAGCAGTCGAGCAGGTCCATCAGTCTGTCCGTCCCCGTGCTGGCGACAAAAGCAGCATTTTCGTTGGTCTTTGGGTAATGGGTCAGGACGAAGACATGTCCCCATCTTCTTCAGCAGAATGTCCACTTCCTCTTCGGTTGGCATGGCAACCACCTCATTAGGAAGGCCAGGACCCCTGAGATTAAATGAAACAACATGGTCAATGTTGAGGTGTAGTGTGTTGATGAAACTATGTTTCTAAAGTGACTAATAATAACAGCAGGCTCAGTGTAATGTTACATGGCTAACTCTACGTTACCTGCTCAGCATGATGCTGATGTTCCAACGTCTCCAACGGGAAGTCTTTAACTTCTTCCCATGGCGAGTAAACTCCTCTCCACCAGGAACTGCTCTGGGGTGGGGCTTCAGCTTCACTTTTACCTACAAAAAAAGAAAAAGTCAAAAATGTGTCCTCTTCACCTTGGTCATCAATATTCAGATTTGCCGGGCTCCACCCACCTTGAGGCTGTCCATACGAGACTTTGATGCCATTGTGATGGCAGAGGCCGGTGGGAAGGACATAGTTGGGGAGGAGCTATGAGGAGGAGATTGAGGAGTACGAGGGAGGGCGTGCACGGCGATGGAGGACATGTTGTTGTTGTACTGATGCACTTTGGCCAAAGGTGAGTGCTCAGAGTTGGATGCCAACACAGGCTGAGGGAAGATGAACACAGACAGAAAGTGGTGATGTAATCAAAAAGACCTATTTACAATTGTAGTTTTTAAATTTATGGCTCCCGTGACAGGACGTCGTTAGCGTATTTGGAATATAAGGTTACAGACAATGACACAAGTGATATGTGAATGATCATTTTACCTTGTTTCCAGGTTTCTGCAGGCTGTTTGTGTACAGGGTACAGCAATTAGGACTGCAGAAGACTAGGCTGGGTCCTGGTCCTGACTGACCCTCCTGCAACAGAAACAACAGTCACCTCCTGTGTCTTTTTCTCTCCCTGCATTATTACCAGATTCACAATCTCTTACTGGTTTTATCTCTTTCACGATGCGGACGCTGTTTCCCAGTAGCACCTTGCAGAAGCTGCAGCACTGAGGTCTGACTGCAGCGGAGCCGCCTTGCAGACCGAGGTCCATCCTGACACCTGCAGGACAGAAATATATTAATCATCACTGAGGAGTAAGGATAACAAACAAACAAAAAAATAAATATTAATCATCACTGAGGAGTAAGGATAAACAAACAAAAAAAGAAAAGAAAAGGTGAGGAACAGACCAGTGTGTCCAGAAGGGGGTGCTCTCTGCAGTTTGAGGCCTGGTTGACCCTGCAATAATAAAACCCATTATCATCACCATCATCATTTTAAAATTAATGTGAATGAATGAGTGGGCGGAGCTTACTTGTGGCAGTGGTACTTGCATCCCTGCCACAAGACCCCGTTCTATGCCCACAGTTCGACTCAGCTGGTAATTAAGGGGGGTGGGGACACGCAGCAGCTGCGTCATCACTGCCATCACTCCTGCAACATTCTGGACACAGAGTGATGTCATTAGGAGGGAGGAGCCATTTAAAAAAAAATGTAATTATGTCAGAGAAACAGATGTTTACCTGTGCTGCAGCAGGGTTTAGGGTTATTGCTATTGTGACCAGGTCTGTGTTAGAGCAGGACTGACGATTCTGGAGGTTTGGCTCCACCTTCACTTCCTGTTTCAAAGCAGATGCTGGATACAAATGCAAAAGTGCATTAGATGTAGGCCGTAGACCTTTTTAAAAATGTATTCCTCTGGTGTTGACATAAACCTTGTTTCTTCACTGAGAACTCACCTTTGCCCTTGGAACATGGTATGATGGGTAAAGGAGGTGATGGACTTGGTGATGGCTGTTCCAGTTTTATGAAGGAGAGGTCAGGATACCTGCTGATTTCAAAATCTGCAACGCTCTCTGGAGATGAAGATGGGACGTAGCTGTCTGGAGTGTCTCGCTCCGAAGAGTCCTGAACCCTGTGATGAACAATGACAGTAGGTACAAAGTTGATCAAGAGCACCCTCTGCTGGCCTGAATGTAGTGACATCATCAGCACAAAACCTGAGAACGTGTTGTTAGAGAGAGGGACTTACCTGATCTCCTCCTGGATGTTGTGGGGTGGAGTTGGCAGGGAGGCAGGAACGTCCACAGTCTTGGGGGCATGGTTTAAAGCCAGAAGCTCCTCCTTTGGCTTCAGACCTGATGTGGTTTTTACTAAGATAGAAAGGCACGTGTCAAACAGCAGCAGAGTCAAAATGGTGGCTAATTAAAAGTCACTGAAGCAGGAAATATGTGAGTGACTGTCTTACCCTCGTGCTCACTGATATCCTTCCTCGTTAGCTCCTCAGTGGTGGCAAAGCCATTCAACAACTTCTGCCTGGCGACAGGTGGAGGCGTGGGTGGTAGGGATGCAGGAGGAGTGGGGGGGTTACTTAGGTTGTTCTGCTAGAGGAAAATGACAGAGAGATGAGGTCATTGAAAAGTCAGCCACACCCTAATTGTTCCTACAATCTGTCCTTATTACATTAGTATAGTGTTGCTGAACTAACAGAATTGTCCTTCTAAAATCCACTGGCTATGTTTCCTTTAATATGGTGTACATTATTACTGCAGCACATTAATACCTTGTAAATAAGTTGAGAGTAGTAGTCGGTGACTCCATCTAGACAGGCATTGCCAAAGGAGCCTGTCAGCCTGGAGTCTTTGCCCAAAGAAGAGCTGCCATACGGTGGGAAAAGCCCAAGATCGACTCCCAGTACTGGCTCCATAAGAGGCAGAACCGAGAGCTGAGGAGGAGAAAATCAGTAATTTATTATTTTATTGGAGATTCTAGTTTTGGTATTTCTTTAATTTATTTTGACATCTGTTAAATTCTAAGAAGCCAAGAAGATGTCAGGTCCTAGGAGAAATCACCTCAGCGTGTACCTGTCTGAGATGAGTTATCAGTGGTTCAGAGGGGGATGAAGTGGAGCAGTGCAATGTCTTTTCCTCCTCCTCCTTCTTCCTCCTCTTGTACTTGGGCTGAACCTTGTCCTTCTCAGGACGAGCCTGCCTTTTACAACGCTGTTGCACCTTCTTCCTGCCCAAAGCATCCATATCTGGACTGCCCAGCATCACCTTTAGGAGCAAAAACATCACAATTTCACCAAATGCATTAACACCCTTTCAAGTAATTCAGTTTAAGGAAGTATCTTACGTAGCCCTGGGAAGCAGGCCTCTCTTCCTCCTCAGACCTCATGCTGTCACTGGACAGTTGGCGAAGAGCAGGGGGTGGGGCCTGTCCAGTGGGCGATGGTGTGCTTGCAGGGGATGACTTGTCCTTCAGCAGGTGCTTAAGCAGCTCTTTTCCTGAGTCTCCTTCTTTCCCTCCCCCACGAAGAGGGAAGGAGAATTCCTGCCCTTCTCCCACCTCCATTTTTACAACACATGCTCTGACATCCTCACGCTCCTCCTGCAGAGAAGATGGGGAAACAGAACCATCTGTAATCTGTACACATGACATCATCAAAGACAAATCAATAGGAACACAGCTGCAGACCTTGACCTCCAGGGGGCCTCGCTGAGACTCTAGTCCCATGACGGCTTGTCTGTGCTTGGCTGCTGCCCCAACAGACACCTGCCGCTCCAATTCAAAAGAAGAAGCCAGACCAGTAAATGTGGTGTCAGATAGATCCCCACCACCACGAGTGGGTGTTGAGCAGGAGGCGTCGGAGAGTGCTGGAGTGGGTGGGGCTGTCATGTCATCAGAATGAGAAGACAGGGGCGTTCTGGCTCCTCCCACCATGACATTGTCGTCATCTCTTTTCCTCTTTTCCTTTGGTTTGTTGTCAGGTACGGCATCAGGATAGAGACAGAGGACAGAGGTTTGAAGAGAGGAAGGGGAGGAGCTATTGTTTCCAAACTGTTGACCCTGGCCTCCAAGATGGGCCATGTTTAGTCCTACAGCACCTGGACCAGCTGGCCGCAGCTGTCCCTGAGCTAAAGCCCCAGTGGGTCCCTGGAGAATTGGCCTAGCTAAAAGGTGAGGCTGAGCAATGCCAGTGGGAGGTCTGTGCACTGTGTGAGCTCCAGGGTGTGGAGGTCTAGTGAAGCCCTGGTGAAGGACCACCTGGCCCTGATGCTGAGGTGGAGGAGGTCTGGACGATGGTGAGGACTGAAGAAAGTCCTGTGGCAGCTCAGAGCTAAAGAAAGGCAGCTGAGAGAGGCCGTCAACGCCCCGTGGTGGGGCCCCAGCCAAGCCAGCATTTGCTCCAGGATGAGGTACAACTCCACCTCCAGCAGCCATCGATGCTCCCAGAAGGCCTTGTTGCTCTTGTGCCATTCTTTGCTGCAGTGCACGCTGACGCTCTACCTGTGGACAGAAGACAGATGAAGATGTGGTGAAGTGACACATATATAAGGACTGAACAACAGTTTAACTCTAAATGGAATTTTATAATGATTATATTAAGGATACATTTTAGCATGTATTGTTGTACCTCTTGCATCAACTGTACTCGCTGCCTCTCCTGCTGCTCCCTCAGACGCTCCCTTCTCTCTCTCTCCTGGAATCCTTCGCTGAATGGGTTGTTGTCGTCAAACTTCACCTGTTACGCAATCAAAACAAAAAAAAAAAAATTTTGGCACCATTTCTTTCATTACTTATGACAGATGCCCGGCTACTGAACATGCAGTTTTAAGGCTGCTACCTGAGGTGCACCGGTGGCGCTGGAGGCGACTCCATCTCCTGTTGTTCCGTTTCCTCCTGCAGCAACTAACCCTTTATTGAAAGCTGCTGGTGACCCAGAAAGACTAGGAACCATTCCTGGATTTGGAACCTGGTTGGGAGGCATCTTAGGGGGCAGATGATGAGGCATTCTCTGACCCATCTGTGGTGAAGCCACACTCCCTTGGGTCCATCCAGGACCTACATTAGGAACACAAGCTGGTACTGGTCCTCCAGGGCGTAGCTGCATGGGCACTATGGGCTGTGAGAGCATAGTCTGAGGAAGGGTTGGAGCTCCTGCAGGCATCATGGGCACAGCAGCAGGCTGCTGCAGCGCCCTCTGCTGCTGCTGTTTGGTCCTATAATCCTCAATGAGCTCAGCATGGTCTTTCTGCTGTTTCCGTATCTAAACATAGAACATATATTTGTCAATTAGCTGCGTAGGTGTGCACCTTTATGTATATGCGACTCAGGTGATACACTTTACCTGCTCAAGTTGCTTCTGTACAGTGCCCTGCTGTTCCGTGACATAGCGTAGCTGCACAGCGTCCTCCTCAGCGAACTCCCGGCCTGCCTTCTTGGCCGTCCTCTGCTTAGCTGACAGTGCTTTCTTTGTCTTACGATGGGAGGCAATCTGATCCTCCAGGAGGCCCTGCTGCATCTGCAGGAGCCGCTGCGTCTCGCCCAGCCATTCCTCATACTGACGCCGCTGAGACTCATCTGTGGACAACAGGATCCATTTGTTAAAACTTTTCAAAAAAGTTTCCAACAGGACCACAAACTAGTCATAGATAGATTCTGACACTCACTGATGAAACCTGGGCCAAAGTTTGGAGGGTTGGGTCGCATAAACTGAGGATTTACCTTCCCTTCCTGACAAGATGATGAGTACAAGAGGATGTGAGCAGAAGCAAACAGGGTAAACATATTTAATAAACGCATGAGTTGTTAATCTTCACCTGTCCTGCCTGGTTGGGAGGTGGCAGTGGTCCCTCTGGACTAGGGGCCTCTGTAGATGGAGCCTGCTGAAACCTGAGGACAGGTGTTAAAGGGTTAAACACAACAGGAACACAACAAAACCATATTTGGACCACTTAACAAAATCTTGTAAAAATAACCACAACAAAACCATATTTGGACCACTTAAAATCTTGTAAAAAAAACAACATAAATTAAGGTCTTACCTGTTAATGACCAGGTTACCCTGAGTCATCACTTTGTTGATTCCCTTCAGAGCGACCATTTTGGCCTTCATGATGGGGTCGGAAATGGAATCAAATTCCTCTGCACAAACACAAACAAACATGGACTTTAAAATCATGAAACACATTGAAATACAACAAGCAAACCAAGGTCTATATGAGTCTAGCCATGTTACCCATGTTGGGAAAAAGAGGCTCAGAAGTGGACCTCTGTCGGATCAGTGCCTGCATCTGTTTCTGCTGTTGCTGCTCCTGACGCTCCTGGTCCAGGAGGTCCTGTAGGAGCAGAGGCTGCTCCTCTAAGAGCAGTGGCCTCTTTAATGTGTTCTGGTTTGGAGGGATGATGGTCTGACCTTGGGTCTGTGTCTGGGTGGCCATTCCTGGGTGCGGAGTCTGCATCTGAGGGTTTAGGAGGATGCGAGGTTGGAGTAGAGGAGAGGCAGGGGGAGGAGCCTGAGGGTTTGGAGTGAGAAGAGATGCAGGTCCAAGGGATCTCTGCTGCTGGAAGACAGGATGTGGACCTGTGGAGAAGACAAGAGAAAGGGAGACAATAAGAAATAAAAATACAAATAGTGGACCTGTGGAGAAGACAAGAGAAAGAGAGACAATAAGAAACAGCAAGAGTTCAGCAAATACAAATCAGTAATTCTCATTATCGGCTAGTCAAATAGAAAGAAATGTTTACCTGGAGTGGAGGGAGGCTCAACTTTGGGTGTAATGCCTGCCATAGGATGCTCTTCCTGGGTGGCAAGTTTTACATTGGCCCCTGAGTCCTTTTCCTGGAGGTGGAGCATTGACTGATTGATTCAAGGTGTGTGTTCACTTTGACAATCTTTATTAATGATTGATAAAGGAAAGCTGCTTTTACCGTGTTGAGGATGAGGGAGGAGGCACATGAACTGTTTTGTAAAGTTCTGATATCAGTAACAATACCAGGCGATGTCATTTCCTGTTTAATCTGGTCCATGTGGTGAGCCTGTCCCTCTGCCTTTCTACTGGAGCCGACTCCATCCTTCTCCTCCACTGGCTCACCCAGGTCGAGCTCTTCATTAAACATGTCCTTCTTGTCCTCCAGGTTAAGCTCAGGGTCAGCGTAGGCAATCAGGTCGAACTTCCCAGAGAGAAGGAAATCATCCAGATGCAGGTCATTGGGACCTAGATCTAAATCTTCTTTGCCTAAAAACAGGACCAGAAAAAAACAATACCGGTTTTATCACAAATATTATGGTTTCAACTATGTGGTTTATAGTCTTTGCATAACAATAGGCCAGAGCTACTGTGAGTAGCTGTCAGGGTGAAGCCCCAAGAAAGAAGATAATTCCTTGTAGATTTGAATTGCACTGTACTGTGCTGTAGGATCTATGAATAAATGTAAACCTAAATATATTTATGTGCCATAGAAACGATAGTGTTAAGTCTAAAAACATTGCTATTTTTATATTCCAAACCCCCCTTGATTAATTCTGAAGTGAATTAATGAAGGTTGTCACAAAAATATATTCATGGTTTGGATTTATATTTTCATTCATACCATCTTCAGGGTCGAGGTTCAGGTTGAGGTCAACCAGATCCTTCACCTCCACATCCTCCAGGTCTTTCACAGCTGAGTCCTCACTCTCCAGATGCTCCTCTATCCCATCAGCCCCGTGTAGTGCGGACACTGTGGCTGTGTGAATGAGGTGCTGCTGATTTAGAGGCTCTACCATACTTGCTTCTGCCACATGCTGGCCCAGAGTCTCACACATCCTGATGGATTGACCTGGTCTGGCCAACGGTTGTTGGGCATCTTTGGCTTGCATTGGTGAGCCCCCAGGACCAACAGCAGGCACAGTGAAAGGCAGCCTTAGGCGGTTTTCAGGCGCCCGATGTCGCAGCTCAATATAGGGCTGTCCCATGATGCTGTGCTGCTGGATAGGGAGGGAGCGGGGAAGGAACGGCTGGGCAACACCTGGTGTGTGTGAAATGGAAAGAAGTTAAAAAAAACAAAAAAAAACAGAGGAGTAAAATAAGAGTGGGCGGAGCTCTTCTGACCTGACATCATGTGTGGTTGAGTATTGGCAGGAACAGGTGGTCGAATGCCAGTGAACTCCGCAGGCATGGGCCTTCTCATCTGAACAGGTACTGCCTCTGCGGCAACATGACCGGTTCCAGGGATAACATCCTGAGGAGGCCGGAGAAATGAGTCCTGGAGTCCAGCTGGAGCTGTTTGAGGAGCAAATCTGGAAAGGAGGTAAAAGAAAAAAAAAGATTACAAGTTAGACGATGCAATCACACTTGATCATAAGCAGGCTCTGGTACTGCTACAACCTTATGGTTGGTCTGACACCCATGTCTGTGGGCACATTTGGCCGCGGGAACGGAGCCTCAGCAGGGATAAAGGTTCTCTGCTGCTCTCCTGTAAATCCTCCAGGAAACCTTGGACCTGTCATGATAGCTCCAGGACCAGCAAATCTTACTGTGCCAGGGTAGGGAGGTGGAGGGCGCCCAAACAAATCGGCAGGAGCAGCTGAGGAAGAGGGCTCCTCCTGGGACCAGTGACAGGGTGTGGCAGAACCAGATGGAGCCACAGGTGGGACAGCTGATCCAGATGATGGATCTTGGAGACCCTTCTCTTGCCTTAAAATGCTTTTCTGCTGCTGCTGCCTCAAGATGAGTTGCCGTAGACGCTGTCGCTGCTCGATAAGAAATTCAAATCAAAGAAGATAGAAAATACAGTGAGTGCATGTGCTGCCGTAGACGCTGTCGCTGCTCGATAAAAAATTCAAATCAAAGAAAATACAGTGAGTGCATGTGAAACAACTTTTTATTTATTCATTATTTATGACAGAGGGAATTAGATGAAGCTCACTTTGACGCCACGAGGTCCAGGATAGCCGATGGATCCAATAGGACCAGAAAAACCCTGAGAAATGAAGGTCATGTCAAGGTCAAGGGGTTATTTCTGGTCACCAGTACAGTAAATGGTGGATGTTTTGAATTTATTAACTTTTATATTAACTTATTTTTATGGTAACAAACAAGCTAAATTTTTTTACAGAATGTCAATGTTTTTGAATTTGTTCAATTTGGTTAAATTATGCCTCTTCAAAGTTGTGGCTTTCCTGGAGACTGAATAAAAAAAATAAATAAAAAAAAGTGGTTATATTTAAAATCCTATCCAAGTTTATTTCTAAAGTCATGTCTTAAAAATTGTAACATCATCTTCTTTAATAGTGACACTTGTTTATCAGCCTTGGCAACAGAAAAGACACACATTTCCAAATCGAGGTGGCTGCCCAGTGTGCTTAATTAAAAAGATGTGGTTTATTACCAAATGAACATCGATATTGAAAATAAGAAAAAATTTGTGTAACAACAGTGTTGAGATGTGATCACTTCTTGTACCTGGGCTGTTGCGTTGAAGGCTGCTGGTTCTACTTGAGCCATAGGGGACGATCGAGGACCTAATGTATTAGGATTGAAGCCATCTGCTTGGTTCTGAATGAAGGACTCTGGAGCCTTGTGGGGTCGTGGTGTGGATGGCTGCTGGGCGTAAGGGTCTGGTGAAGGTCGTGGCGTACCTACAGGCTGAATGTAGGGGTCGCTGCTCCGTTGACTCCCTGGTGATCTGGGAAAACGCTCTGATACAGAGGGACGAGGTGTTCCTGGGTTGCTGTTGTGAGGATCGATCATTGGGTGTGAGGGTGACGGGCGAGGGTTAGTGGGCTGCTGGTTGTACTGGTCTAATCGCAGTGCAGAGGGTGTGGTTAGGTACGAGGGATCACAATGTGAGCGAGGTGTGCCAGGTGTCTGGGGGTTGCTGTAAGGATCAGGAGATGGCCGGGAGTTCAAAGGTGAGTGCTGGTTGAAGGGGTCCATGACCTGCTGGCTGTAATCTGGTCTGGGTGTGCCTGGTGCCTGTGCGTAAGGGCTGCGGTGAGGGGAGCCCAATCCTGATAGTGGACTAGGGGGAAATCCAGAAGGTTGGGCCTGTGGGAGTGTGTGGCCAAGTTCCGTAGGTCTGACTGGCTCCCTACTTCCTCCTCCTACCCCCGAGTTTACAAACAACTCTTGCTGAGGAGGCATGGGTGCTTTGAACACACCTCCTTGCATCAGGTCTCCAACTCGAACGAGTTGGTCAGCCCCTGCCACACGAACGCCACCACTGGTGTTATGAGGTGAACGCTGGTAGGATTCAGGTGCTCGCACACCAGTGTGACGAGTTGCAAGGTCGCTAGCAGGCCCAGAGGAAGGACTCATCATACCTGTCCTGCTCTGCTGCAGGACTGGAGGACAAAAAAGTAGGAAAAAAATTACAAAACAACAAGGAAACCTCAAGGAGATTAAATTAAATCATAACGAGGGAGTTACCTGGTTGTTGTTGTCCAAGTGTTCTGGTCATTTCAGCAGCTTTGGAGTCAGGAGATAGAGCAGGAGAACCAAAGGCATCGTGGGCTGGGGAGGCACTGAGGGAGTTACGGTGCTGCTGCTGTGGAGCCGATGAAGAACAAGTTTGGGAGGAGGAAGCAGGACGTGGTGTTCCTACCACCTTACTGTAAGGATCCCAGGGAGAGGAGGGGCGGGACGATGGTGGGGAGAACATCTGGGGGGAAGATGGAGGTTGATGAAGAGGAGAAGAGGCGTGAGGGGAATGAGGGAGAGAGGAAAACCCAGAAGGGGGAGGAGCCTGTGGCTTGAGGAAGACATCATCAAATGATTGCCTAGACTGTGAGTGTTCCTGCTGCTGGGTGGGGCTGTTGCTCTCAGAGGAGGAATGTTCGGACTGACGCTGATTTGCCAACATACGTTGCTGCTGCAGCTGCTCCTTTTTAACCTGCTCCAACTTCTGCGTGGCTTCGATCTTTGCCAGCTGTTTACTTTTCTGACGCATTTGCTGGGAGGCAGGAGGAGAGGTATCAGTATAATTAATCATACAAAGGCTGATTTGGACATTTCCTGTCAAATGATTTCACATAATACATTTAAGTATGTCCAACCTTTAGCTATTCTTTGGTTATTGTAAAACAAAAACCTTCAACCTCCTCAGTAACAGAATCTTTGTGAACGGAATAGAGATGCAATATAGAATTCGGTGAATGAAAAGTGATGCTATGAGATGCTCGCTCCTCTGTTTATAATTTTGGTCTTGAGTGATTAGTGAGTGATTTTTTGAGGTGTAGATAAACAATGGGAGTTGTTTTGGAATGGACTCTGGTTCTGTTTAAATCCTGCTCACCTGTCTAAACTTCCACTCCTGCTCCTGCTCCGACTCTTTGGGCCTCAGCGGGTCTTTAAAAGCCATGTCCATCTCCATGGCAGCAGGGTCAAAAGGTCCCGGGGGCAGTGATGGTTGTGGTGGTGGCTGTGGTGGCTGCTGTTGTTGTTGTTGTTGTTGTTGCTGCTGCTGTTGTTGTTGTTGCTGCTGT